ATGTGGAGAAGAAATTGTGCTCGGAAATGAACTAGATGAATGAACACAGGTATGGAAATTAATCTCAGAGTAATAATATATGGAAATAATCCAAAACTTGAGATGTCTATAAATAGCCCATTTCTTTGTGTTGATGACAACTCAGAAAGCGTATTAATACAGTTTGAAACATGGATCAGAAGGATGAAGAAGGATCTGATATATTATACAAGGAAAAAATAAATAAAAATCTTGCTTTCCCGGTCACTTGACGCATACATGGTTAAGTGGATCAATGGGTCTTGGGGCTCAAGTCAGACCAATAGAAAACGGACTGGGTAGGGTCGGAGTTTTGAGCGGGCCCATTTTCTCATGACACGTGGCATCAACCCAGGATGCCCATTTTCCAGCCTTTTCTCCGGGCCTGAGGCCGGGCCCATGAATGGCAAGAAGTGAAGTAGATAATGACTAAGTCAATGGAAGCAGCACATCAGAATCAGACCTCAAACCCTATTTTCCTGTACAGCTCCTGAGCGGATGTGTTGTCTGCATGTACATGAACAAACAGCTGCTTCATCCCTATCAAGAAACATGGAGAAAAATATCACACCGCCTTTTATAGAACCATTCACCCGACCATGGCAGTGATACGCATCAAAAGACTTCTTTCTCTCTCTTCGCACTTGGGATATATACCTGCGGAAACAGCCATATCAGTTGCCAAATAAAGCATATTGGATGCGATTCCTTGGCGTCGAGCAAACTTTGAGACGCACACATTCGCTATGTATGCATATCGTTGTGTATCATGCGTTGCAAGGATGGAACAAGGCTTCTTGATCTCCTGAAATGGCAAATAATGGTCGTTAGAAGACTTGAGGATTCCTCTTCAGTAGAGAGAAAGATGGGGCATGAAAACAGAGGCTTTCTCACCCCAGGGAATTTCTCGCCGTGCAATAGCAGCCGGATGCTGAGGTCCAGAGTCCCAACCACGCTGTTCAGGACAGTTCTTCTGATGTTGGGATCTTCCTTCTTCACCTGAGAGCAATGAAAACGTGTACACTTCAATTCAACATCATCTACATTTTCATGGAGAGATATCTTCGTCCATCCTTCATATCAATTTTTTTTTTCATATTTAATAACGATGATAAGTTATGATAATGGCGAGTGAATCAGAGAAGTTGATTGCTTTTAACATTGCACGTGTACTTCGGATGAGATGAGAGGTTACTATCTGACCAGGTTCTTCAGGGAGTTGACATTTTCTGTTTCTGGATGCTGGAATTATATATAGGGAGTAAGTTGGGTAACCCTAGCTTGGACTTTATTTCAAAAAACTTTGGGTCTGTCCCCTCTGTTAGTAAAGATATTCATCTGTAAGAACTATCATTACGCACAAAGTATGCTAAAGAGAATAACCATTTAAGAAAAAAGGCAATAAAATCATAATTTCCACAGGATCATTCAGTGTGAGGTAGTAATTTCATATGAGCCGATATCAACTTATTTTATCCAAGATCTTTTTGAACACAGGGGGAGCATTCCCAAGTTCACCAATCATAATCAGCGGTTGGAGAAACTAAGGATCCAACCTACATATAATATCCAGATGGCTCTCTGGAGAGGATCAACTTAATTCAAGTAAATAAAAATGATTCTGCATAAGCAAAATAAAATGTGAAATATATTTCAGAACTATCTTTACACAATCTAAAGAAGAAGAATCCAGTTGAAACAGTGCATAATTAAAAAAAATTCGAAGACATACCGAAACAATGCACAAGCACTTCAAGGAGTTGCCCTCTCGTCCAGCGCATCTGCGCTTCAGAGCATTGAACTCCTTCAAAAATAGTGATAAGTTTTATCAGCTGTCAAGATAAAAACTTTTGGGCTGGAAGGATCGGATTTGGCAAAATACGGTCATCATGTTAACTTTTATGGTATCACGGAAGGTACAGGGTTTAATTGGCAAGAAGGTAAAAATGATCTGCGAGGATGCTAAAATGTATATAGATAGTTTCTCCTTATCGGAGGCAGCTGCCTGCTCTCATCCCCAAACAATTCCCCCTCCCCATGGTGGCCCTCCTCTCCTGTGGCAAACCCCTCAAAACTCTGAAGAGAAGAAGAGGACTGAGTTGGTTTTAAATGTTGCTGAGATAATAAGCAACTCCAAATCTGCCAGCATGGACACAAATTATTGCCCATTTCGAAATTATGATTCAATTATCATGATCAATTTTCCATCTTTTTTGAATAAGAAAACAGAGTGAGCAAAACATGGGAAGGCAACATACCGTATGAAAAAAAAAAACCCAACACACGGGACGTGACATGAACAACTCCTCTCATCTCTAGTGGAAACATTCCCAAAAAGGAAATATTCCCAAAAACGATTTTATTTTATTTTAATTATTTTTTGCGTTCACTCAATGAGATTAGAGTTAAAACGAAAAACTCCCAAAAAGGAGTAAGCACTACAAGCCTGAAAGATATCTCCGACATCCATAAAGATTGATGTGATACGAAGACTAAACCATGCTAAGAGCAGAGGAAAAAAAGTCTAACCTCCTCTGCATATTTTCTCTTGTAGTTATCAACGTGCCTGTAAAATTAAATGGCAGCCATGGGACTCCGATAGACAAATGTTTAGGAAAAATAATGATTGACGATAGAACCGAGCAAGCCAATGAACATAAAAGCATATTATAGAACATAACAGTTACCTCATGTATGACATGGGGTCCCAATGGGCTTCTGCCCGAAGCCATGAAGCTGTCTGTCACATTACATAACATATATATAAGGCAATGGCAAAATACAAGCATATGAAGTCAAACAGTTGACTGCGAGGAGCATACCCAGTATTCCTCATCAATCACAGCTTCACGGGCAACAAATCGACCAAAAGCCCGTTTCAGTCCTTTACACATTTCCTTGTCACTGACCTGCAGCTTATCAAAAGCAAGCTCAGAAAGTTTCGAGCCACTTGTTTCAGGCACTGCTGATTGTTGAATTTTTGTGGAACTGTCCTTGCATTGCACACCATCAGTTTTACATCTATAATGGCCTTTAGGCGGTGTTTCCCTGTGATGTGGGAAAAGGAAATCAGAATGACACAATTATTGGTAGACACATCAGATTTTCTCAGCCAATGTGAACAGAAGAACCATAAGTTCTTTTTATTGTCTACAGTTGAATGGCAACGCATATAGATGACACTTGATTAACCTTATGCATGGAAAAAAATATTAAATGATAATGAGATGAACAACACGAAACTATCACCGTCAACCAGAAAACAGAGAGAAAATGCTACTCAGCCACTGCATGAATAAGTGAATAAAATCCCACAATACTGAATGTGGTAGTAGCCATCAAACACGATGAACTGAGTAGGCTAAGGAAGCATCAAACTGGCATCAAACACGATGAAAAAATCTATGTTCAAAGACTTAAAGGATGATCATTTCCCTCGCCTTCACTATTTAGCAGCAATATTTCTCATATTTACATTTGCTGAGACGCAGTTTTTGTCTCAGAGGTGTCACATGTCTGAGCTTTTGCATATCCTAGATTGCTTCATTTCAATAAACATTCCCATCCTTTCCCTGAGAAAGAATAGAACGTTTTCAGTATCTGAACAGGTAAGACCCAATAGGGACGTGGAATGCAAAGCCGAATCAATGCAATACATCAAGCATGCTCTTAAATAAAAGAAGCAGCACACATCACTCCGTTTCGTGAATTTGTTCCCCCTGAAGGCAAGATCATACTGCGGACGCAGGGATCAAGGTCCACTTAATCACACGAGATTCACGCCCAACATAATCTTCAATAAAGATAGTCCGATCATTGAGATAACCTATAGAGTTCATATTCCACAGCCTACGATTGTTGACTTACTTTCTAGACCCGTCCGAAATAATGGTAATACATTCTCAAGTCATTCAAATATATGTAACAATTCAGTTTGCGATCTCATCTTTTAGTTGGAAAGGGAATCAATAGAGCAGGAGAACTAATGTGATAAGACTTACACGGGTCAATTGTACTACTACTTATCTTGGGATCATGCCATAATTGGGAACGAAGTTCTGCAGCTTCTCAACTCGAGTAGAACAATAATGTGCTTTACTTCTATAAAACCCATACTTGTGCTCAACTCAACTCAAGTTCCCGTGAGAAAATCCTCTTTAGTGGCAGTATTATTCTGTTCTATTACCTTGAATCATCCAATAAATGATCTAGCGATCCAGAACCATGGTATGAGTAGAGAAAGGGAACATCAACCTTTTATCTCGGTATTCCAAAAGTGTGCGTGAGTACAGGGAGGAAAATCTACAGCATAATTGCCTCTAAAAAATTTTGGTCAGAGATAGCAATATGAATGATCTTAATACAGGCCAGACTATAGATGAGTGGTCTGTGAGGATTTCGCATTCTCTAAATTGCAAAAGGATAAGACATGATGGGCCATAATTGTTCGTTGAAAACAAGCATAGATGGCAACGCAATACATCAGAATCCCCATACTGTTCTGCTAATTTCCCTTTTATTTATACATACTCGGCGGCTTTCCCCATGGAGTCTAGGGTTCTACGTACCACAATATACTCCCAAGGGAAAGTATCAGATTTCAGCGAACTTAGTGATGGGTGTCGTCGCAAATGCGCAACATCCTCAGATTCAGGCACCAGAAGAAGCCAAACATGATTCATCGCACAGAAAAGAATAACACAAAGAAAAAATAATAATTCAGTCACCAGGTTGTACCACAAAGTGGAAGTGATCCTCGCGAAATAGGACACGGAACGGCTCATTCTCCCTTTGGCAGGTGCCCGAGCCCCGCGAGTGGAAGCAACTTGGAATTGGGGAATGAAGCATCCCCTGGGCAAAATTTCTTTTGAGAGAAACATTCTCGGGAGCCTGCGCTTGGCACATAACCCTTACTCGCGGCCTTGTTCCTTCACAGCTGGACAAGGGAATCCACCGACTCAGAACCACACAAAAAAAAAAAACTAAAACAAAAATTAAATGTGGACGTGAGGTCTCCAAGTTCCTCCACAACGGAAGTACAATACCTACCAGGCGGCTGAGAATTCGACGGATCGTGACGAAACAATATCCAGAAATGAACGGCACAGGCGAAACTGAGACGCCAAATTTGGAGAAAGACGAGGAAAGAGAACGCAGCGGAGTTACCCCCGATCAACTACGACGGGCAGACTCCCGAACGCACTGCCTCCTCGACGAGCGAGACTGAGAGCTTCAGAGGAGAAAGTAGAGAAGGAAAATAGTAAAGAAGAAGAGGGAGGAATGGAATCTGGGAAGGGACGGACGCGGAGAGTTGGACGGGGAAAGTAGACGACGACGGGGAGGCGAGGGCGGCGACGTGTTCCTTCCTCCTCCTGTTCTCCCCTCTCTCTCCCTCTCTCTCTGTCTCTCTCTCTCTCTCTCTTCTTGTGGAAGAGATGGGAACGGGTGATGTGGCGGCCGTCGGTCTGACTTTTTTATCCGTTTCTCTGTCCACGTGGCCAACTTTATCGGGTTACGGTTCCTCAATATTTAAAATAAGCCATCTTATTTTTATAAATAACTTAAAAGTCCTTTTAGGACTAAAATAAAATATAATAAATGGGAATTTATTAATTTCACGCAGCGCTCGGAGAGTACAGGTACAATAAATGTTATCTGATGTGAAATCAGATAACATTCAGAATAACAATCTTAACTCAATTTCCAGTGATTTCAGTGAAATTGTAAGAATGAAAAAATATGAGGGGCTTTTTTAAGGAAATCCCGGGGGGGAAATATCTGCGACCCGATAAGATGCGGAGACCTCCCGACGGGATATGTCGAACGGTGGAGGGGGAGGCACGTGCGAGTTATCCTTCAAAATTTATTATTTGGTTTCAACACCTTGCAAAGCCAGTTGACTCATTGAGAAACCCCTACTTTTTAAAAATTTAATTCGTTACCCTTTCGATGCCATCGCACGCCAACTATATTTAACAATACTACTCTCTCTCTCTCTCTCTCTCTCTCTCTCTCTACCCTGCAAGCGAGGAAATGATGGGTTCGCTTTACCGGACGAAGAGGAGAGAGAGAGAGAGAGAGAATCAGGGACAATAAGAATAAGAAATTTCTGGGGGACCAGGAGTCGAAAATAATAACAGTGGAAGTATATCAAAAATTTAACTCGTTTTTCAGGACTAAAATCAAATAACCGTTCTTTATATATATAAAGAACGGCACGCATCAAACAGAGAAAATCGTGCCGTAAAATCCTCCAATGTGGGCATTTTCAGATGATTAAATAACGGATAGAACCGGAGATTAAACCCCTGCATTTCATATTCTATATGGCGAAAATTTTCCTCCATAATGCGGTCATCACATTGAATACCAGTATAAATAATATCTGATAAACAAATAAAAATATTTAGGATACCATTGAACGCAGATGCAGTTGTTCAATCTCCATCTGCCAGGAGAACCTGGCTCTCTGATCTATGGCATCAAGGGACACTAAATTCTCTCATACAGAGAGAATATATATATATATATATATATATATTAAAGATAATGGTAAATTGGAGATCAGTTGATTGAGATATAGAATGGCCGATGAACCATGGTGAATGTGCATAATACTGATGAATGCCCAGAAATAAATTATTGTCTAATCGTAGCGCATCAAGGGGCGAAATTTCTTCACATATGAAAAAGATTGCATTAAAAGTAAGAAAATAACGCACATTTCACATGATTTCTTTTACCGGAAAAGATGATGAAACTGGAGATGGCTTGTTCATGATGAAGAAATTTTGATCAAGAAGAAGGTGTGCTTGAGGTTTGGAAGAAATGAGCGGGAGCTAAGATTGGTAGGGAGAGAGACAGATGGTGGTTCAGGGTTTCTGCAGCATACGCAGACTGAGGATCAGACATTCTTGTTCTTCTTCATCTTTGATGGTGGCCACCTCCCCTTCTTCCTCAGCACGCGCTTGCGGACGAGGCGCTTCCTTCGGAGCCTGATCTTCTTTGCTAGCTTCATCTTCAGCTTCTGCTCGAGCCTCAGCTGCAGCTTTGACTCCAAGGGAAGACCCTCTACAGAGGCAGAGGCTTCTTTCCCTGCATCAGGTGCGCTGGGGCTGCTGGAATCGCTCCCATCGTTCTCCGAGGCACGAGCAGCCACATTCCGCTTTCCAGAAACAGTAAAAGAAGGAAATCCCAGCTGAACAGTTGAGCTTCCGCATTGCCTTGTCACTGCAGCAATGGAAAGAAGAAAAAAAATCAGTGGAGAAATTGGAAGGAAGCTCAAGTGAGACTCGGATAGAGTTCAAGGGGGGACAAAAACCAATAACATGGAAAAGGGTAAATCGACATGGGTGGAGAAGGTTCATACAAGAGTTGACTCCCGAGTGACAATCAACTATAATTTATGAGAAAGAAAATTCCAATCATGAAATCATTCAAAGATTTTTTTTTTGCAAATGTAGATAAAAAAGATCACCCAAAATGCATAATTAAGAGTGCTAGAAATCACAATGATCTGGGGGAGAGGCTCAGAACCCAGAGGAAATTGAGAGAGAAACAGCTGTGGGGAAGAAAAAATGGAATAATCAGATCAGAAGTGGTGAGCATCTCCCATTGTAATGAAACCTAATAGCCACCATGGTAATGCCCCCTTCTCATACTTGCTCAACATCGTGTTAAATGACGGTAGAGAAGTTCTGCAAGAGATCAGATTTCATGCTTCGAAGTATTTTATGCTTCAATTGCGTACTCTACTCTTTTTGATCAAGGCATTGACATGATTCACCCAGAAAGAAAGAAAGAAAAACCTAAAAGAAACCTTGCAACACTTGATATGAACTCAATCTGGGGAAAAGTGGATCTTAAGAGGATAGTGTCACGCTCATCATGGAATCCTCTCCGGAAAAAAAATTCCATCAATGAGAAAACAAAATTAAATTCATGTTTAGAAAAAGAGTAACTCCAGAGAGTGTTGATCTCACCGAATGCCAGTCGGAAATTTAGCAAAAAGCATGCAATATTTGAAAAAAGAGGAAATTAAATCGACTGGAAGGAAATAGCCAAAGTCGTAAGACGGGAAGAGGAGAGAGGTGTTAGTGAACGCTCGCACACCCATGAGAACGAAACTGTGACGAAATGAGCACACACAACTAACCACGGTCAAAACTCAAATGGAGAAGGATTTGACACAAATTGGCAACAACGAATTCCAAATGCAGACTTGTTTCCGGAGGGGAAAACGCGCTTAAACTATCCTATAATGTAAAAAAAAATGGGCAACGCATAGGTGAATTGGGCCTACGGGCAGATAAACGGCTGTAAAAAAGTTCGGCATCACCCCGAACTAGACAACAAAGACTTTCAGGACATTACAGGGACGAAGAAGAGAAGGAATTAGGGGGAACAAAGCCTCCATCATGGCGTTCAAGTGGGGAGAGAAACTTACAGGGGACGACCGCCAAGGATGGCGAAGGAGCGGGAACCAGCAATCTACAGGGAGGAGCAAGTGAACGGCGCGACCCAGATAAAAGTAGAGACGAGGAGACGACGGATGGGGCGGGAGGGAGCAGGAGGGCCGCCATTTCTCCTCTGCCTCTCGTCAGACTGGAGGAGGGAAGTATGGAGGGTGCCTTTCGGATAAGCTGGAGCCTCTGAAAATGCAATTAAAAAATAATATAGAAAAACTTAATTAATTGACTCCATGGCCCAATGGATAAGGCGCTGGTCTACGGAACCAGAGATTCTGGGTTCGATCCCCAGTGGAGTCGATCGTTACATTAGGCTTTATGAAAAAATAAATCTTTAATTTTATTTAAGAAATTAAATCATATTTTGGGAATTTCCGGTTCCTTTTGTTGGTGCCTCAAGCTCCTAGGTCTCTGGAATGTTCGAGTAGCTTCCGCAAAGGACGCGGGAGAATGCCCAGCATTCACCATCTCCAGGATATAATTCCTCCCTTCTCGCTCTTCTCATCTCCATGCTTCAGCATCCCCAGAAAGACTCTCTCTCTGTTACTGCCATCGCAAAGGAAAGGCCCAAGGTTATCTCTCTCCATCTCCCGCGCTCTCCAGCATGAGGTAATGAAGCATGTATCCCTCTCTCTCTCTCTCTCTCTATCTAGAGTAGTTCTACATTGTTATTCAGTCCCGCCGAGTTAGCTTTTGAAAGTATTTCATCGTCTTCGGATGGCTTGATCTCGGATGAACGGACACCAAGAACAGAGGCCAGCGACGGGCGGGGCTGAGGTGGAAATCTCGAGCTTCGATGTCGTGTTTGGACAATTTGAGCGACGGATTCCCGTCGCTCGTCTTCGTTTTAGGGTTGTCCCCCGAGGAAGACGATGATGAACTCCTCTAATCTTCTCCGGTTCCAGCAGGCACCCAACGGCGAAATGGTCGCAGAGTTCCGACAAGATATACCTCACCATCGAGTTGCCCGACGCGAAGGACGTGAAGCTGAAGCTCGAACCCGAGGGGAAGTTCGTCTTCTCCGCTATTAAAGATGGCGTCTCCTACGAGATCGACATAGAACTCGCCGGCAAAGTCGACGTAGAGGTAAATCGGATTCAACGAGGCACATTATGATATATGTCTGCAGATATATCGATCCGATGCTCGTACTCTTGGGGGTGTTGCAGGAGAGCAAGGTCAGCGTCGGCGTGCGGAGCATCGTCTACGTCATCCAGAAATCAGAGAAGAAATGGTGGACCAGGTTGCTGAAACAGGAGGGGAAGCCTCCTGCTTTCCTCAAGGTGGATTGGGACAAATGGGTTGATGAAGAAGACGAAGGTAATCTCGCATCAGAATATCGAAAATCTTCCTGGGGCGCTGTTTATGGCTCACTGATTCTTTCTCTCATGCTTGTTTGTGGACAGCGAACCAGGGCTTGGACTTTGATGACATGGATTTTTCGGTCAGCGCTGACCCCTCAATCTGAAAGAATTCTTCACTGTTCATAGATTATGAGATTGGTCTTGAATGTGCTGACGAAGAGGTGAAAAAATCTCTGCAGAAGCTGGACATGGGAGGGGATGATGACCTCGACATGGATGATTTCCAGGGCAGAGAAGGTGAGGATGAGTCCTCGAAGAGTGTTTCCACCAGAATCTATCTTAGGGTTCTTGAGGAGTGGTTTTCCTGTCTGCAGAAGATGCTGAAGAAGCCAAGGATGAGGCGGGATTCGCTGCAAAAGTCAACGAGGAGACCGGTAAATGATCGATGTTGCACCATACGTAGGAAATCTGATGTCTGTCGCGTTGACGTTTTAAAATGCTGTGAGTCATGAACTGCCAATGGTCTCTGATCTTTCTGATAAAAGCCCCCTCCTTTTTAATCCATCCTCGCTCCCGTTGACTCCGCATCCCCTCTATCTGATCGAAGTCAAACAATCAACCAATCCACGACTTCCATATCTGACATGCAATTAAAAACCCGGACGATGCGTCAATGCTTCGGCCTTTTCCTAGTGAAGGAACTTGTGGATCCCCCGCTGAGAGAGAATTTCTAGGAGCGGAAGGACCCATTGTCCACCGCGTTGACCTTCCACAGGATCTCTGCTCATTTCATGGCCTACGCCTCCCTCGGGCTCGGTCAACTGATTCGGGCAGCCACTGGTTCGGCGACCCATCGAGATCAGATCCAGCATCCTCCTCCGAACAGAGTAAATGGAGTTGGGTTCCATCAGACATCCTCTTCTGTAAGCTTCTCGGAGAAACACCACCTGGGAGCCGCCGCCGCCTTTGGTGGATATGTAGAAGATCCCGGGGTGCTTCAAGAGGAGTTCCCGCACGTTGACTTCCATGGCGAAGTCCCTCCGGAAGTGGGAGAGCCGCTCGACCTCGATCATCTTCTCCACGGTCAAACTCAGAAGCTCGTGGATGATCCCCACGGCCCTCTTCTCGAAACGTTCGAGGCCGCCGCAAGAACGGACGCGGACGGCGGCCTCCATCTTCTCGTAGGGTTTCGCGTACTGGAGCCTCTGCCAGTTCTTGAGCTTCTCCCTGAAACCCTTCTCGACCTCGAAACCAGTGGGAAGATGAATGGGGAAGGCGTACCTGATCTCGAACTCGCTGAGCCACTTCTCCCTGAGCTCTCTCTCCCTCCACTTCTCCACCTCCGCTTCGATCTCTGCATCTCCAGAGACCACCAGGGAGACTGTCTCAGGGGTTTCCAGCCTGAAATCCTGCGGACGGTTGAGAATAACGGAGGTTCTGAAATCATCGGGAAGGCCGAGCTCCCTTCTCGCCAGCCACAGCGCATGGACATGGAGAGCCCCGCGGGTGGAGATCGTGAGAAGCTTCTTCAGCCGGCGCACCGCCTCGGATTCAGACTCTCTGATGATTCTCGCTTCCTCTTCGATCAGGTCGGCCATCCTCTGCGTGATTCTGCAACACACGTTCTTCTCGGTTTCGTGGACGAAAATCTCGAATACCTGAGGATATTTGCGGAGGAAGGCTCCGATCGCCATGTTCAGATCGACGTCCATCTTCCGCCTCGAGAGAAGCTGCAGGGATGCGTGCTGGCCCCTCCGACTCGAGATCACCTCCTGCAAGCTCAGAACCTTTCGCAGTTTCTTCAACTGGATCATCAGACCGTCGAGCCTGAGATCTCTGGTTCTGCTCTCCAGCCGCGTTCGCGCGGAATCCACCGGCTTCTTCCATCTTCTCGGAGTGTTCGAATTGAACGGGCCGAAGACCACGACATCTTCCCCGGAGGGAGAAGAAACCTTGCCTAGTACGCTGGTTCGAGCATCTGCCGGCGACTTGCATCGGTGGACACACCGGAGGAACACGCCGAAGGCCATCGATCCGAAGACTGGTCGATCGATTTCAGGATTACCTACCAGAGAAGAGAGAAGCGTCAAGCTCAAATGGCGCATAAAAGGAAGGTACCAACGAACAGAGTCGAACTCAGAGCTTGTCACCTTAAACCCTAACTTCTACCATGAACACTCGCCTCCACCACTGCTCTGAGATCCCCATCACAAGCGAGAGAGAGAGAGAGAGAGAGAGAGAGAGAGAGAGAGGCTTCCTTGGGCCTTGTTTAGCAAAAAGTCAAGAAATGGAATCTTTAAAGTCAACGTTTACCATGCAGCGTTGACCACATTATTAAGCATCCTTCAGACCTTGAGCAAAGGGGGGGGGGGGGGGGGGGAGACACTAAGGCTGGTAGACATCAGGGAGCTGAAGACCCACACTGGCTGCGGACTTCTTCAGCGTCTTCCTCATCTCATCCGTCCTGTCCACCCCTATGTTGTAGGAGAAGAGCAGCTCCTGCATGGAATTATATCTCTTTAAATGGCATAATTTATTGATAAAGTAAAACCAGGAATAAAGGGCAGACCTTCCAAAAGTAGAAATAAATTGCGGTCTCCATGATATTGTGAACAAAAGAAGAAGATGAAGAAGAAGAAGAAGAAGATGATGATGATGATTCTAATCATCAGGTCATAGTATGGAGCGATAATTTTCACGCTTCCAAGTATCAGAAGGAAAAAAAAACAGGGTTTTGGTCTACGGTTTGACTTCTGAATCAGAGTTGACTTTTCTTCAGAGGAGAAGATATTCACGAGCAAATTGAATATTTATAGCATGTGATCCTCTTCCATAACAAGAACTTAGCCACCTCATGAGATGAATGGCTCCGCCAGATATACCAGAAAGCATTGCAGTATTTATTTGCAGACTTGGGAGGAAAAACTTCCGGAGATGCTCCATTAGTCTGAAATTAAATCATAGGGTCACTTGCTGATGATGAAATGGCTGCACTCTATAGCTGCTGAAGTATTTCGTGCTTTAATGATCCCCTTCAAGTCAGCTACAGAAGTCAATGCCCCGCTGACTTTGTTCGACTCGTTGACTTTTTTTCACCAATAACCCCATCATTCATATAGTGACAGACATACACACACACACACACACATACATATATAAGCACTAGATACTAGAAATTTAGAGTATAAACAAACACTATCATGGACAGACTCTTGAAACAGTGGAGTATACTCACAAGATTTCAGAATAGTCAACAAAGTTATCTACCTTGTAATTTTTCTGACTCAGAATTCGAAATTTCAATGAAATCATAATCCATTCATTATATAGAAGCTGATTATCTCCTAGTTTTTCTTAACATGCCGATACTTCTATTCTCTTTACACCTTTGTTTATCTTTCGGACTAAAAAATTGAAAGTAAAAAAATTATGATATATAAATCATAAAGAAACTAATTATCTCCTTGTAATTTTTCTTGGAAAGGAAAGCAGACACTTCTGTTCTCTTTTATTTCCTCTATTCAGCTTTCAGACTAAAACACTCAAGATTTTCAACAAAATTATAATCTCTCCATCATGTAGACCCTGATTATCTCCTCGCACATCATGTAGAACAACCACGCAGAACCAGTATTCTTTTCTATTCCTCTATTTAGCTTTAAGGCTAAAAACTCGAAATCTAAGCAAAGTCATGACATCTCCATCATATGTAAAACAAATTATCTCCTTGTAATTTTTCTTGGCAAGCAGATACTTTTCTCTTTCATTCTTTATTTAGGTTTCGTACTATAAGAAGAAATTCCAACAAAAATAAATCATGATACACCCAGAAAATAGAAACAAATTATCCCCAAGCAATTTTTCTCGGCAAGAAGATACTTATATTATCTTTTAGTCCTCTTTTCAATTTTCAGACTAAAAACTCGAAATTTTAAAAAAGTCACGATATATCCATTGTATACAGAACATTTATCTCTGGGTAATTCTTCTTGACATATAGATACAATTCTCTTTCATACAATTATCTTTTTTCTCGTAAAGCCGTGATATATCTATTGTATAGATATCAATTATCTCCTCGTAAGTTTTCTAGACACTAGATACTTCCATTCTATTGTATTCCTCTATTCAGTTTTCAGGCAGCTAACAAATAAACTGATATATTATTGGATAAAAAACAACCAATAATAGGTACCCCTTCTAACTGCTTTTTGGCATCTGCAAAAGTCAACGCTTGCACATTAACTACAACACTGATGATATATGGTGTCTCTACCATTGCCAGCATGAGGCGTACGGCCAAGTGTTTGCAAGTCATATGGGAGTCAAAATGGAGAACGGTAGATACCGTATTCTCTACTATCCCTGTTCCTGGGCCATAATCAACATAAGACAGGGTTCGTTGTCACAAAACTACGGTCATACCAGTTACAAAGGGTTCAACCAAATCATCACATCACATCTAGGCAATTGAAAGATACCATTATTATCAACGGTTTACAGTGTTTGTCGCCAAAACCTCAACTGAGAAAGCTAATCCACGGATTCCTCAATGCGTCAAACAAATGAACTCTGACACCTTGTAGGGATCACATAGATGTTTAAGAAGATGATATGAAGATACATATTTTTCACTCTATACATATGCGGTCTACATTCTAACAATGGGTGAATATTCATGTATGCAGCCACACTGAAAGTATTACCTGTACCAGGGAACACTCAAACTCGTAGGTAGATTTATCGTGACACGATCATTGTTTTCTGTGTGGACGATCTTCATTTAATAATAAGATAGCCTCAATAAACATGAGTGGGCATAGTTGATTGATCCAAGAACTCATAATAATTTGAACTTATTGTCATAAAATGGGGTAGGAGTTTGTCTTTTGAAATCCACTTGAAACGCCTTACTGTACATTTGCATTCCAAAGTAGTTCAAAGAGTTCAATAGTCAGCATATGTATTCCCTGATGACATAGCTCTTGGTATATGGCATTTATCTGCTCATTAAAACGATCGCAAATCTCTCGAAAATACGCCATTAGTGTGGAGATGTCATTCTAAAAATAATCCATGAAAAGACACGCATCATCTGGGTTCAGAAGATTATCAAGCAGGCCGGAATAAAGAAAGAGCACAGATAATTGAACAGAGATACCGTCTTCACCAAATCTCAATGTCTACTGATTCATTTTAGACTTCTTAGTTGATGTTTAGATCCTTCCATTAGTGGTGTCAATCTTAGCATAAAACACTATTCCTTCACCACGGCCCTCCTCGCACATTTGTGTTACAGTCTTTGCGTAAATTCTCCCTCAGTGGCGAAAAATTCCAATAGAAACAGATACGAAACTTTTACAGACATTGGAAGTAAAGTTGACCTAGATAGTAACTAATCGTGCAGAATAAAAATCACCCTTGGAAAGACATACGTTTCACCAAGAAATGAACAGCAAGATTGCATCATGATTTCCTGCAGTAGGAGAGATCGGGAACTATTGATAAATGGAGCCAACCTTATGGTGATGGACACTGTTAAGCAGGAAAGTGTAATCTCGTGCAAGCTTCAGTTCTCTCTGCGCTGCAGCTTCATCAGACAGCCGAGAGTTCCTACGAAACTCGCCGGCGACGAAATCTCTGAAGTGCTTGTTCTTGCCGCTTGTCCCGACGTGCTTTTCCAACGACTTGACCAGCTCGCGGTACACCCTTCCGACCCTCATGACATTTGGATCTTCCCGCAAACCTGCATCAAATAAGAAGAACAAATCAACGACCAAACAGTCCACCGAATCACGGAAAAATGGAATCAAATCGGAATCCCTCTCCCGGCAAATGAATCGTATTAAAAATCATCACGAAAAAGCTGAACGAATCGCGTTAAACATGGAGAGGAAATCCAAAGAGAGGAAAAATTCCTCCTCATAAAGAGAAAGAGAGAGAGAGAGAGAGAGAGAGAGAGAGAGAGAGAGAGAGAGAGAGTACCTCCAGGAGCTCCAAAGGGCTTCACAGGACTCTAACAGAACAAGGAGGGGGGAAAACGGGAAGAAGGCGAGCTAGACGGGAAGAGATCCGTTTGCTCTGTCTGTCGGATTTATTGGTACCCAATGGGCCCATAATACTGATTATAGACCCGAATCCTATTCTAATTTAGTTACTGTTTTTTCTTCTTTAAATATATATTACATATTTATGTTAACATATATCGAAATCATTACGCCAAACTACGCGACTACGCGACTACGCAACCGTTGCACCCAATTGATCTGGGCAAAACAAAACTCATTTTATTTTTTTAAAATAAAATATAAATCTTTGACTTTTAAGAGAAACGGCTGACCAATACAAGACTTCGTGGACGCGTCAGTCTTTCGTCGATTTAAAAATAAAATATAAATCTTTGACTTTTAAGAGAAACGGCTGACCAATACAAGACTTCGTGGATGCGTCAGTCTTTCGTCGATATTTCTAATACTTTTTAATTTACTACTATTAATAATTTATTAACTGCATGATTGGTGCTAAGGCGACGTAAAGCTCGATCTGGGGCATTTTTATAATTTTTATATCATTCTGGGTTAAATAAAATACAGCGTCCCCATCTTTGTGACGATCTAAGTTGTCGTGCAGGATTATGGAATTCCTAAAATCCGGTGGGTGGGACCTGCCACGTGTCATCCTACATATCCTTAAGCCGGCGAAGCACGCGCGTACGAGTGAACGTCCTTTTTTAATACATACCCCTGAAAGTTTACGTATTTAATTCAGCCAACGCGGTTAGTTGAAGCTTTTGTTAATATCAACTAAGGCCATGGTTTGGTCGAAACAATTAACAAACTTTCAGGGGCTTTAAATTTTACTTTATATATCATACGGGATAAATTTTAAATACTTGATCCTAATCATGCAGGCCTCCTTATGACGGCCGTCGTCCTCCTTCCCCCGCGTGGAACGAGGGAGGAGGAAAGAGGAGCTCCGATCATCGCCGTCGCCGTCGCCGGAGGAAACGGAGGAGGGCGAGGGGTGTGCTCCATGGGAGACGGGGTACTCTCGGAGACGGCCGGAAGGCTCCTGCTCTATGATCTCGTCCTGTCGTTCTTGTGGACGTTCTGGTCCTCCATCCTCAAGCTACTGGTCAACCAACCCGTGGGGTTGGGGATCCTCCTAAGACCGCTCGCTGAGGTCCTCAGTGGCTCGCTATACATTATTTCCTTGCTTTTCTTCTCCTGGCTCGGGTTACGCACCCACGGCGGCTGCGTTAATCCTCTGGTCCTCCTCTCCGCCGCCATGAACGGGGACATCTCCATGTTCCCTCGCACAGTCGCCGGCAGGATTCTCGCTCAGGTTAGATTCTCGTGCTCCGTTGGGCGTTGGATTCGTCTTCCTATCACTCAGAGAAATTTACCTGAATTTCGGTGTCTGACCGAGCAATTCCTTCGATGAAGCTGTCTTTGCTCCTTCTTTGATGCGTACTGTTGAAGTAGGTAATTCGAAGAACTAGGTCATAACACCTTCTTTCAACCTCTACCTCCCGTCGGTCTTCCGATTTTACCTGCATCCCACGTTCGAATACTGCTCGATGGGTCAACCGGACTTCCCGTTTTCCTCTGGGTCTATTTTGTGCTAAATACTGGCGTCCTACTATTTCCATTTAATTCAAGAAAAATATCTTCTCTCGTTTCAATCGTAGGATGCCTCATCATCGTTCTTGAACTGAAATTTCTGGAGTTATCACGGATTACGGATTTCATTTCTGTGCAACTGCTTTGTTTCCATGGAGGTCCATCTTCATCCTCGCAAGGAAAAAGAGACAACAATCGTCATCCCGAAAGCACTGAGAGCTATCAATCCGGATGCCTGATCGTCTAAACGCAGACGACTCCCGCACCCTTCAACTCCTCTCTCATACCTCTTGCTTCGATTTCTGCCACAACCGTGCTCAGTGTTTCCGGTTGCGTTCCCTAAGCAGGGGATGGCTTCCGCTTGCCATCTTGTAAACGATCTCGGTTTCTCGACCTCTGAGAGACATCCCATGCTCTGTAGGTAGCTGGCTCCATCGTTGGCGTTGGATTGGCAAGGGAAATGTTTCCCCAAGTAGCCGACTGCCCGTGCTTGAATGTGGACATTCCTCGAGGAGCTCTGGCAGAGGGGCTCATCTCATTTTCATACGTAGCGATCTATCTCGGAGCCAAGAGGAAATACCCGAAGAACTTCGTCCGGAGAGCGTCAATAACTGCCGTTTCCAGACTGATTCTCCGCCTCCTGGTTGGTGGCTGCATGAACCCTGCCTCTGTAAGCTCTTCACCATACTCCGTCATTACTGTTTCCCCCCTTCTTATCACTGTTTTGTGATTGAAACTATTCAAAGCCGTAATACTTAATCTGCAGAAAAATTGGTCATCCTGGCAATGGCGAACTACTGAACACAGCAAAGATTTCTAGCACTGGAATGAGAGTTTTTTTGTTTTCTTCTTGTTCATTAGACATCCAAAGATGCAGATTCATGTTTTTTATATAATGTAGAAATTAATCCCATAGATTGAGCAAGAGTGGGAAGGAGATATGAACTCTCCTGGTAGCTCATGTGGGATCGAAAGCCCACCCACCCATCGATTCCTGCTGTTCTTCCTTAGAAACCCACCATGATCCTGTGCTCTTGAAACCGCGCAAGTTTCAATTCATCATCTATTGCAGACATCACCCATCGAGTTCTCCTGAACGGTCGTCGATTCCTGCTGTTCTTCCATCCAAATCCTGCATGGATGGTCCCACAACTTCAACTCTCAGCTCATCATGTGTTTCAGAGCATGCTCGATGGAGCCATCAAGTTATTTTTTTTCATTTTTGTTAATCTGTTCTTCTTGTTCTTGGGCACCTCTGTTTTGTCTCCAGGCCTTCGGGTGGGCGTTCTCTCGAGGAGATCACATAACCAAGGAGCACCTCTTTGTTTACTGGCTTGCTCCACTGGAGGGCACTCTGCTGGGTTTCTGGGTCTCTTCTCTGCTCGTTGAAGAAGGCCCCCCTCCACAAGGTGAAGAGGAGAACAAGAAATCAGATTAATGCGAAGTATATTATATATATACACAAATATATAAATATATATGCGCATTTTGGCTGATATATCATAGTCTTATTTTCCTTTATTGGGAATAATTCCGTGGAGTGGGACCCTGTTGGACAGCACCCCTGAGTAACAAGGAGAAGTGGTGGCAGCAACCATGCCATATATAGAGTTTATCTTTATTTTTCTGGTTTTCCTTTATTATGTACAAGAAAAACATGCCCTTTTCTCTTAATACGATCCTGTTTTAATCGACGGTCTTGCTTTCGCCACGTGTCCGTCTCTGGGGATTGAACGCCGAACCCGATTAAGATCTTAATCATGAATCTGGACCATCCGATCATGATTATGCGGTGATCGTGAGCATAAGAGCACGATCAAACGGTGACGATTCAACTGCTCCGTGATGATCCTGGGCAAGATTAGATCGGTGCCGTTGATTAGACTGTGATCCTAATAATAATCATAGTATGTTGGATGGTTTGGAAGATGCTGTCAATCCGATAAGATTAGATGGTCCCGCGTGGATAAGGGGCATTGACAATAGCGACGCATTTCAGAGCATTGACAATGGAACGATGAGATTTTATTTAATTAAATAATGATATGTAATATTCTAAAATATATATTAAACGACGAAAATTCCTTATTACTCTGATAGTGAGATCGCCGTGTATTAATGAGGTCAACCGAGCTGAGAAAATTTCACAAAATCCCTAAACAATAAATAAATCAACATTTAGTACTTATCTTACGGTATTTTTGTATTTAGAACCCGGTGAGGACCAATTTATAAATTAAGTATGAAGTATCGGAAAATTTCAAATAAATGCTTCTACAGGGATATATCCACAAAACTACGTCTCCCCCACCCCCCCGAACCAGCCCGGCACCCTCTTCCCCGTGTTTTGTTCCGTTTTCTCCGTTTGAGGGAAAACCTCACCTCAGGAGAAACCCTAGGTAACACTTCGTGGTCGGGGGTGGGGAGTGGGGGGGTCTCGTCCCGGAGATCGGGGAGAGCGCTTTGTTCCTCGATATTAAATTTTCGTGCCATGGGCTCTGGTAAGTGTAGTGGATTGTTTGGTACATCTGGCATGCAAAGTTGTCGATATTTTCTTGTGTAATTCCATTGGTCTACTATTTTTTTTTAATTGTTTTTTTCAATGTCTATGCTAATGGTTCAGTGATCCGTGCCAAACCTACAATTTTCTGTTTTTCCGTCCATCTGATATTGGAAGTCTCTGTACTCCTCCCTCTCTCACTGCTTGTTATTTCCCATTTTTCCGTCTCGAGCATCTCAGTTTATGCTGATTTGTGACGTCGCAATCTTCGCGTGTGCTTTGTCTACTTTGATTTCGGAAAGAACGTTAAAAATCGATTTAATAGTGGATAAAATCCTTTCGTCAAATCAGTCTCGAAAGTAAAAAGCCATAATGCGTCAAAACTTTTGGTCTATCTCTCTTAAGATGGTAGCGTTTGCCTACGTATTCCTCAATTCTGCTTTTTGGCCTTTGCAAATGCCTGAAACCAGATTAAGCATCATTACTCATTGTAAATGGCAACTTTTTCATGTTGCTTCCAGATGCAGATATGGAGGACTATGGTTTCGAGTACTCTGAGGAGGAGCCTGAGGAGCAAGATGTTGACATCGAGAACCAGTACTACAATTCCAAAGGTAATTCTCAGGAATTTCGGTATGTGTACTTTAGTTGTTGCAAATTGTTACCCTCCTTGTCTACTTCTTCGTCGACACTCTTGGTATAGTTAGATTCGAAGGTGAATGCTGTTAATCGACTGTATTTAGATTTATTTCTGGTTCTGGTTTATATTTTTTCTGATGTTTATAGTTATTTGCATCTGCAAAGAGAGCTTTTTTTTGTGAATTTTTTACCTATAATTGCTGAAGCAGACACTCGTGCGATGCCAGATTCTTTTCAAAATGGTCGCCTAGGCCCATAGAATGCTATTTTTCAAACCTTTGTCATTATGATTATGCCTGCTAAAGGATGAAGACATCATGTGAACCCATAATGACATTACCAATTGTCTACCATTATTTTATTGCTTCTTTAAGATGAAATGAAGTACGTGATGAGTTTCTAGCAGCTATCTTGAAGTTCAGATTGGATGAAGAATTGATTTTCTATTTTCCCGTTGATTTTTTCTCCGGTGACGGACATAGGACTACTTCTTTTTTTTTTACCGAATTTTTATTATTATTCATAAATTAGGAAATCTTGAGGTTGAGGAACTGAGGTCTTTACGAGCTTGGTGCATTTTTTGTTCTGTTTTTTCTGTCTGAATGCATGTAAACGGATTTTGAGGTAGATCTACAATGAAATTTCACTGGGATCACCAAATAATTTGCTGTATACGGGGAACTCCTTGCTGCTGATTCTTGGAACAGAAACATGGTGCTTCGGCTTGGTTTCACTTGAAGACCTCTATCTCCATCATATCCATGCTTGAGGGAGGTTGAATAGATCCTGAAAAGTGTATGATGGGGATATGACGCTAATTCATTGTACCATCTGTTTAAATTTTTTACAATCTGTCTGGATTTGACAATCTTGTTTTATGCTGTTTTTATGAGGTAGGACCGTGTTACGCGCTGTAAACAGGGTTTTTGGGTACACATTGGGAATCTTTATGCCAAATTTTTTAACCGGATGAAATTCATATGAAGATTGTATATGAATTATGGGTATGGTTTAGAGAAATCAATTCTCAGTTGAACTGGCTGGTAATTACTTGGCAATGTTTGGGTAAAGAGGTGCGTACTCTTTTTTTTTTAATTACATCTTGTTGGAAATCTAGAAAGCTTCATGCTATCGTGCATGTTTTTTTGTATCAAATTTGCTGCCATATTCTCCGTGGGTGAGAACAGTGCTGCACTGTGAACTCTTTTTTGGAAGTTTTTTTTCTCAAAGTGATTGAGATTTTATGTTTTCTCTCAGATCTATAAAGCTACAAGCTTTCTAGATTTGATGACGATATTTGATGATGATATTTTGGTCTTACTGTGGTAATAACAGCATATTAGCTTCTTTGGTTCAAGCACATTCACAACCAATAAGTTGATATCAATTTTAGACTCATTCCCGTTTCATCCAGTCTTTGCTGACTACGAGGAGACAACCCAACTCTTTGTTTACCACTATCCACTTTGGTTTTTTACTGAACTGATATGCCTTCAACTTTTGGAGATGCAAGTGAGTACTTACAGTATTCCCCAAAATCGCTCAACATATGGAGCTACTTTTTTGAAAATATGGGATACGCTCAACAGAAAATCTGCTAAAGTTGTTCTTGGTTTTAGCTGTGGAGAAAGTATTTTTATTGTCCCAACTTATCTAGTCTGAATGGCTACATCTCTGCATACCCGTGTGGACTTTATTGCCTATCACTATGCAATTCAAACGTTTTCTTCTTTGTTTTGTGAAGTGCGTAAATTTTATTGTTTCTGTATTTTTCTTGTTAGTTTGTCTTGATGCGTTATTCATCATTGAAAATATTAGTTCAGGTTATTGGGTTATTAAGTTATTGCCCTTTTTATTTCTATTAAATCAAATTTGGTACTTCTACAGGTTTAGTGGAAACTGATCCTGAAGGAGCACTAGCTGGTTTTGGTGAAGTTGTCCGAATGGAATCTGAGAAAGCAGAATGGTGCGTATGTCATGTGATCCTTCTGCCTCTCATTAGATCAGAATGGGTACTCCGAATGTATAGTTTTCAATATTTTCTTTCTAGATCACGTGCTTCATGGCACTTAATATTTTTTTTCTGTATCTGGCTGATTTAGGTGACACTGAATAAAATCTACGATGTTTTATATCGATTTTTCGAAAAATACCATTAAAATGTGAAAAACACTTTCTGAAAGACTTTCGCTACCCATTATCACATGTAGCTGTTGGAATTTGAAAATGTTTTGACTTGGTGCATAATTGTGGATATCCATTGGCTAACATTGGAGTAAGTTGTCCGTCGTTCCTTCTCGCAGTTTTTGTGCTTTTTTCTTTCATTTCATCTGATAGCACACGACTTTTACAGTTTCCTAAGAAATGCACATGCACACATGGAAGAATCCCGTGATTTCCTCACCGGGTTTTTTTTTCTGTGAAAGAAAAAAACCAGTTTCACCTTTCCTTCTGAAAATTAAATTTCCATTTTCGTATACTCTCCCTGGTCGCGGACAATCTATCAGACATTTCTTTAGAGTTATTATCTTTTTTAGCCTGTTCGTGGCCTTGTAGATTGCCTTAAATCGTCATTATTATTTCTTGATTTGCACTTTCTTTATCATACGTTTGATAAAGTTATGAATCTTCTATTGATCAGGGGATTTAAAGCCCTAAAGCAGACCGTTAAACTTTATTATCGCCTGGGAAAACATAAAGATATGATGGAAGCATATCGGGAAATGTTAACATACATCAAGTCTGCTGTAACGCGGAATTACAGTGAGAAATGCATAAATAACATAATGGACTTCATCTCTGGATCTGCCAGCCAAAACTCCAGTCTCCTTCAGGAGTTCTATCAAGCAACACTGAAGGCCCTTGAAGAGGCCAAGAATGAGGTCTGTCATCGCTGGTCTGCCTACTCCTGATCTCTCGCCCGTGTCCTATATTCCCTCTGCCTGATCTGTCCCCCCCTCCCCCCCCCGTTCGTCTCAGAGACTATGGTTTAAGACAAATCTTAAGCTTTGCAAGATCTGGTTTGACACGGGCGAGTATGGTCGGATGAACAAGGTAATACACAGCTTCTTTTTTTTTCTATAATGGGACCTCATCTTTAATAGCAATCTGTACCCGATGTCAATATATATATATATATGTGTGTGTGTGTGTGTGTGTGTGCGTGTGTGTGTATATATACTTATGTTGTTCATACTTGTAGATATTGAAAGAACTCCATAAGTCCTGTCGAAGAGAGGATGGTTCTGATGATCAGAAGAAAGGCACCCAATTACTGGAGGTTTATGCCATCGAGATTCAGATGTACACAAAGACCAAGAACAACAAGAAGCTCAAGGTAGAGCGCCACGGGATTTTCTTTCTTTCCTCTCTTCTTTTTTTCTCAACGCTCTCGTTTGAAGAACTCTGCTCGTCGCCTTTATCGGCATCTCTTGAGAAATCACCTCAAGAAACCTAAGCTTTGATCTTATCCTCAGTCTCTGATTCCTCTTTTTCTGAGGCGATTAAATGGTTTTATGAACGTGTAAAAATAGCATATACTTACTGTGAACAAAATCAGGGGAAGAACCAACCTTCTTGACAGCTTTGTGTATGCGTAGTTAGTTCATAGTGATAATTTTAGGTACGATTGTGCAGGGAATGGCTTCTGGGCCTTGTGAAAAAAATTCTGTGTGTATAACAGGCAGTGATGCATTCGACGGTGATACCTGTTTTCTGATTTATTTAGTTATTTATTTATTTAATTATTGATGTGCTGAATTGGTGGATTTTGATCGGGGTGCAGCAACTATATCAGAAGGCGCTGTGCATCAAGTCCGCCATCCCGCATCCGCGGATCATGGGGATCATCCATGAATGCGGGGGCAAGATGCACATGGCTGAGCGGCAGTGGGCGGAGGCCGCCACCGATTTCTTTGAAGCCTTCAAGAACTATGACGAGGCCGGCAACCACCGCCGCATCCAATGCCTTAAGTAAAACCCCCTGAACTTAACCCCTCCCCCCCCCCCCCCCTCTCTCTCTCTCTCTCTCTCTCTCTCTCTCTCTGAAATCAGAAATGCTTCTTTTGCACCATCCCCCAACATCACCCCCCCCTTCTCTCTCTCTCTCTCTCTCTCTCTCTCTCTCTTCTCTTTCTTTGTGTGAAATAAAAGCTCATTTTTCACCCTCTCTATTCCCCCCCCCGCTCTCTCTCCCTTTGAAATCAAAACTGCTTCTTTTGCAGCTATCCCCCAAGATCCCCTCACCCTCTCTCTCTCTCTCTCTCTCTCTCTCTCTCCCTTTGAAATCAAAGCTGATTCTTTTGCAGCATCCCCCAAGATCCCCTCACCCTCTCTCTCTCTCTCTCTCTCTCTCTCTCTCCCTTTGAAATCAAAGCTGCTTCTTTTGCAGCATCCCCCGAGATCTCCCCACCCTCTCTCCCTCTCTCTCTCTCTTCTCTTTCTCTCTGTGAAATAAAAGCTCATTTTTCACCCTCTCTATTCCTCTCTCTCTCTCTCTCTAGGTGCACATATGTATGTGTGTATATATATATGTGTGTATGTGTGTGTATATATATATATGTGTGTGTGTGTGTGTGTGTGATTTTTGGGGTAAATATGTTGCAGATACCTGGTGCTGGCGAACATGCTGATGGAGTCGGAGGTGAATCCCTTTGACGGGCAGGAGGCTAAGCCGTGAGTCCTCAAATCCCTCTCTCCCCCCTCCTCCATTCCCTTTTTTCTTAGATCGAATCAGCCAGCCCACCCTCCCCTGCAGATACAAGAACGACCCGGAGATCTTGGCCATGACAAATCTCATCGCCGCTTACCAGCGGAACGAGATCCTGGAATTCGAGAAGATCTTGAAGGTGCTCTACCTCCTGGTCATTAAATGAAATTAATTAGTTAATTAATTAGTCATCCTCTTCCCTCTTCTTCTCCGGGTGATCAGAGCAACAGGAGGACGATCATGGACGATCCCTTCATCCGGAACTACATCGAGGACCTTCTAAAGAACATCCGGACGCAGGTCCTTCTGAAGCTCATCAAGCCCTACACGAGGATCCGCCTCCCCTTCATCTCCGAGGTCCCCCTTCCCTTCCCTCCCCTTCATCCCTTTCTCACTCGAGAAACCCTAACCCTAACCCTAATTCTAACTTTCAGGAGCTCAACGTGCCGGAGAGGGACGTGGAGCAGCTCCTGGTCTCGCTGATCCTCGACAACCGCGTCAACGGCCACATCGACCAGGTCAACCGCCTCCTAGAACGTGGCGACAGGTATCGATCTAAGTCAACGCCGCCCCTTCCCTTCCTTCCTCACCGAGATCCGGTGGTTTCATCCGGAACCGCCGCCGCTGACGCTTTTTATTTGCAGGTCAAAGGGGATGAAGAAGTACGCTGCCATCGACAAGTGGAACACTCAGCTCCGTTCTCTCTACCAGACCATCTCCAATAGAGTGGGCTAGTCAACTTCTCTGTCCATGGCGGCGGCGGCGGCGGCGGCGGCGGCGGCGGCGGGAAGAAGATCGCCGGCGACCGGGTCAACTCGCCACGGAGTTCTGTCTCTTTCGGGTAGTCCGCCTGTCGAGTCAACACCACACAGTGAGGACAGATACCGTTTGCTTAAGAAAAAAAAATCCTGAGAACTCGGCATTACTCGTGAAACACGTGGCGAAATTGTACTGGAAAGAGAGAGAAGACTGTAGCGAGGGGGCAGGACCGACGATATTTAAAGGCTGCCTGAGAGAGAAAGGCGGAGACAGAGAGCGAGGGAGCAAGAGAGAGAGAGAGAGATAGGGACACAGAGATACAGAGACCATTCAGTCATTGAAGGCCCAGCGCCACGCCTCAGGCGACTCCCTCATATCTGCCGCCGTTCTGTTCGGGCTCCTCATCCTCGCTCCCTCTCCGGCACGTGTGTTCTTCGTCGCCGGCAATCTTCGTCCCGAGGGGCCGCCGTCAGTATTCGTTCGAACGGAAATTATTCAGTCCTGCCTCTCATAATTAACCCTCGCTTCCTCGCCGGTGCATCGGCGTTCACGTTCCTTAATGTGGAGGGCTTATTGCTGGGAGGATGTCGTATCGGAGGGTGGTTTTCCTACGTTTCTGATTGCCTCTCAGCAGCTTCCACTGCTTTTATTATGTTCGTGAAGGATTTTTGATAATTTACGTCACACTAGGGTGAATTCTACGACCTCTCGATGATGTTTCTCCCCGATTCTTGCTCTTATCCGTGGGTGGTATCGTCTGGTTGCAATATGATGGATGTTACTCCTCGCGTCTCGACTGTTCTATTACATATGAATATCGTACGCTGTGGCCGAATCGATCCCTTGATTATTTTTCGATTATCTCGCCCCGCCTGACATTTCTCAGCTGTTAGGGTTCACGTCATGAGGATAGCGCTTGTTAAGCAAGGTTGGACTGTTCTTTGGCTACGAATTCCCGAGAGGGAGATCTTTCGATATTTTTGCCCTCAACTTTCATGGAATTGAACGTCGATGCTTTGGCGGAATTAAATGGAAAGGGGCCCCGGTTTCATACGTGGATCCGGTGGGAAATTATGAGCTTTCACCAGCTGACGCCTGCTTGTTAGGGCTTTCAGCATTTCAAGATCCACTCGTTAAATCAGGGTTTCCCTTTCTGTCTAGACATTGACTTTTTTGGTGGTGCGCACACATGATGTCATTTGATTTCCTAGTTGACTGAAAATTGGATTTACATGGGGCACAGGTGATCAGACAGAAGGCTACTTTGACTTCGTATATACAATTTGAGTATGAGTGGATCAAAGGTGAAACATAAAGTGGGCAAGTATGAGCTTGGTAGGACAATTGGGGAAGGAACATTTGCAAAAGTCAAGTTCGCAAAAAATATGGAGACTGGGGAGCCCGTCGCCATAAAGATTCTTGATAAAGAGAAAGTTCTCAGGCACAAAATGGTTGAGCAGGTCTGTTTCAGAGTCCAATGCGATCCCTCTTTTTTCTATTCTTTCTTTTTTATCTGTTATGTGCATAAAATTAAATTAGGTAAAGCTTTCCTGGTGACCTAGAAGAAATTGAGAATTCAAACAAGCCATTGAAATACTGAAATCATTACTGAATGTGTATGCAGGATTTTAACGACTACTATCTTACATCTTTTCTGTTTGATCTTGTATTATCCCCTTTTTATGCTGCTCTTTAACAAAAAAATTTCAAGTTTTTGGCCTATATTAATCCTGCTATCTCATTACACAAATCTTATCGTTGAAGTATATTGGAGAGCCTGCCACTTTTTCTCTTCAATACATTTACACTGAATATTTGATATCACTTTACCAGATCAGACGGGAAATTGCTACAATGAAGTTGATAAAGCATCCTAACGTTGTTCGTCTGCATGAGGTTTGACTTAATCCTCATCAGTATAAGCTTGTGTTTTTTTTTACTCTTCTTTTCCTAAAATGTACTTATCCTATTCAGGTAATGGGAAGCAAAACCAGAATCTACATTGTATTGGAATTTGTTACCGGTGGAGAACTCTTTGACAAAATAGTAAGTATTGGATCCTTTGTACTTTGAAAAAAATTATCTCATTTTATTTTGGTCGTGTTCCTGGTTTTTAGGTTCAAGCCTGACTTCACCTTCCATCTGTGAAGGGAAGCATCCGCATACAGTTTCACCGAGGAACTGGATCACCATTCACATGGTTTGTCGTCTCTATCTGTTGTTGATCATTGCACGTATGTTTTGTGATTTTTGAGGTTAACCACGGTCGGATGAGGGAGGAAGAAGCGCGTAGGTACTTTCAACAACTCATTAACGCCGTCGACTACTGTCACAGCCGTGGTGTTTACCACCGAGACTTAAAGGTGATGTCGTTTGAACTTGTTGCATCCTATGGTTCCCCTTCTTCTTTGGCTGAAATAACGTTTTGCTTCCCGTTTTTTGTCCACAGCCGGAGAATTTACTGCTTGACTCTTGTGGGAGTTTAAAAGTTTCTGACTTTGGCTTGAGTGCCCTCTCTCGGCAAGTCGGGGTAATTTGTGAGCTGCTACAATATCCCTCATGCACGAAAACTCGAGGCATTGCTGAGAAATTCATGGCCTGAAAGCATTCTCTGGATTAAATATATTTTAACACTTTGGAATCCATTCTTAAGAGCTGGGCTCATATTACTTCGGATTGACAGCTAATTACCATTGCCTTATGGTAGTTAAAATGTCTCAAATCACCGATCTTATTTCTCATTGTTTTGTGCCAAATGACAGCAACCATTTTGATATGACTAAATAGTTTTTTATACCTGATAACAAAATCCAAGTTGGATATAGGCATTGGCGTGGTTTGTTCAATTTCTTACTAATCCGAGCTTTTGATTTTTAAATATGCGACGAAAAACCCCTCCATTTTTTCTGCTCCCTGAATCGTCCATTTTAAATTAATTTACATGTTCTGAAGGTATAATTTTAGAACAGTTCTCGCCTCACCTGGAGATCCACTTCTCCTAAGGCCATGATACTTCCATCAATCTTTATTTGTTCATGTTCTTAAAAAGCCCTTTATCCTACCATATTCTTAATTTTTTTTTCTTTATGATCTTTGATACCTTTTTCTACCTGTGTTCTTTCTCCCAGGATGATGGCCTGTTCCACACCACATGCGGCACTCCAAACTACGTTGCTCCAGAGGTTCCCACTCCCACATTAATCCGAATGCCTACTGATTCGTTCATATGATCTTTGACTATGAATCGGAATTTCTTTGCTTCCATGTCACCTTGGGCAGGTCCTCAGTGATAGAGGATATGACGGTGCAACCGCAGATTTGTGGTCCTGTGGTGTCATCCTGTTCGTATTACTTGCAGGTTACTTGCCTTTTGATGATCCTAATCTATTGATCCTGTATAAAAAAGTGAGCATTGTACCAATTTTGGAGTGGCCTCGTCTTCCCCCCCCCCCTCCCCTCTCCCGTTCATTCGATGCTCTCACCTGGTGCAGATATCCGCTTCTGAGTTCACATGCCCTCCATGGCTGTCCTTTCCGGCGAGGAAGCTGATCACGAGAATTCTCGATCCAAATCCGATGACCGTAAGCATAATCTCCTCTTCATGCTTTAATATTCTTGGATCATATCATCTCACGAACGTCAACCACCCGGTTCGAATCATCCATCTTCCTTTCGAATGAAAACCCGGATCAAAGCTGTGTGTCTGCTTATCTCATTGATCTATCGACCATCACCAGAAAAAAAAAAGGGATGCGTGGTTCTTCAGAAGTTTTTTTTCAATGTATTTTATCTAATTTGGGGCAAGTTAAATACATAATTCTCAAGGAAATTCTTTTTTCCCCCACAAAGCAGATGTTCATCTCTCTGGATTGATATCTATTTTTAATGCTTGTGGCCATGCAGAGGATCACCATCGCCGAGATTCTGGAGGATGAGTGGTTCAAGAAAGACTTCAAGCCCCCTGAATTCGAAGAGAAGTATGAGGCCAATGTGGATGACATTGACGCCGCCTTCAAGGACTCGGAAGTTAGTTGAAGACGAGATGCCTTCCCTTCTCTTGAGTTCTCTATCAGAAATGGACCGTTGACATTTTCTTTTACCAAAAAAAAAAAAAAAAAAAAAAAAACAGGAACACCATGTGATGGAGAAGAGAGAGCGGGAGCCGGTCGCCATGAATGCCTTCGAACTGATTTCAATGTCCAAAGCTCTGAATCTCGGGAACTTGTTCGATTCAGAGGAGGTCCGTTTTACTTTTTCGGGCAGTTTCCTTTATAAGTGAGGGGTTGAGTTTCGTGTACTTTACTTTTTAAGCTAGACAGGGGTTGACTTTTTGTTGGCCTTGTTCATGGCAGGAGTTCAAGCGCAATACCCGCTTCACCTCGAAGTATCCGGCGAATGAAATCATCAGCAAGATTGAAGAAGCGGTGAAGCCACTCGGATTCGACATCCAGAGGAAGAACTACAAGGTGATTATTCATATGAAATCCTTGAGAGTTCGAGGTATCCGGCGGCCTGATTTATTCTTGGTTTTCCCAGATGAGGTTGGAAAATGTGAAGGCCGGGAGAAAGGGCAATCTGAACATTGCTACAGAGGTATTTATCCAGGAAATCAGGAACGTTGTTCAGTCTTCTCAGGGCCTGGTCCCATGGGATCTTGTTCAGACAACTGATTGTCTTCCCGTTGACTTCCAGGTGTTCCAGGTGGCTCCTTCCATTCACATGGTCGAGGTGAGGAAGGCAAAGGGGGACACCTTGGAGTTCCACAAGGTGCGCATCATAATCGAGTCTTTTGGTTTCATTGGGCCTGTGGTTTGTTCGTAAAAATGCCATCTCTTCACAGATAGATAGAGAGAGAGAGAGAGAGAGAGAGAGGAGCACGGCCCGAGGTTTGAAATCCTTCAGGAGCCCATAAAATGGCCTGTAGACTAGACCCATAAGGAGCTTGGGCCCTGCCGGGTCCTCTACTTTGCAGGGGAGAGAGAGAGAGAGAGAGAGTAGATTTTTACGATGTACTCGGTCGAGTGGCATCTCTCCTCTCCTGCACTATCAACAGATCATTCTGACGAACTTCTCTTGGGTCCTCTCCCAGTTCTACAAGAGTCTCTCGGCAAGCCTCAAAGACGTCGTCTGGAAGTCGCATGACGACCTGCAAGGCCAGGCCCCCGAGTGACACCTACCGGTCAACCTGGAGCTCTCCCCCTCTCCAAGCAATGTCCTCTCTCTCTCTCTCTCTCTCTATACTGATCTCTACTGGTCTCTGTAGAGCATCGTCTCAGCTGCGGGTGGGGGAGCGTATCCTAAAATTCCTCGTCAGCCATCTTCTTGCCGGCTCTGAGGGTCTTCCATCTGTATGCATTTCACCACCCAGACTTGTCGTTTGCATCCATCTCCTGCACTTCTTCAAGTCTCTCTCTCTCTCTCTCTCTCTCTCTCTCTCTCTCTCTCGCCGGCCCATTATATGGTTTTTGACAGGTTGTGAAGGTCGAAATTGTACGGATCTTTGAAATCTTCGGTGATCAATCTATCCTCCGTTTATCTCTCTGCTTCCGCGCCCCTCTCTCTCCTCTCTCCTGCGGGTGTAGTAATTCTCCGTCTCATTCCTCACGTGTGAAAATAGCGAATACCACGCGGTAATAAGACGCGATCGGTAGGCTCCTTATTTTATCATATTACTTCGGAGCTCGGCCCATCTGTCGCCTTCATTCTTTTCCAGCAGCTCCGTTCGCCGCTGCAACGCCACCGGCGATCTCCACCGCCGCCGTGCCCTTTGAAGGCGCTGGTCCTCCCTCGTCGCCGCCACCGCCAGCTCCTCCGTTCTCCGCCGGGGGGACCTCCGGCGGAGTCCGTTCACTCGGCGGCGCCAACGCCGCCGTGTCCTTTAAAGGCAGGGGTTCTCCCGGGTCATAACCGCCGGCGGCGGCTCCGTTCTCCGCCGCGGCCCCGCCGGCGATCCCCCGCGTCCATTCGCTGAGCTGCACCACCGCCGCCGCATCTGAGCAATGTCAACGTCTCCCGTCAACTCCGACAGATAGATAGATAGAAAGAGACAGATAAATAAACAGAGAGAGAGAGAGAGATAAATAGATAGATCAATAGATAGACCGATAGAGAGTTAGATAGGTGGATAAATAGACATGCAGATATATATATATATATATATATATATATATATGTATAGAGAGAGAGAGAGAGTGAGAGTGGAGACCGAGTCTAGGGACAATGTGGCCATAAGGGTGACGGATGATCAGGGGGTCAACGAAGGCGGTGACGAGATCCTCGGAAGGGAGCTTGAGCCAGTCCTCGTCTCCGATGAGATGGACGGAGTTGACCTCGATGGGCTTCCCGTAGGCGGCTTCGCAAATGGCGGGGTCCCTGAACTTGCTGCCGGAGATGGAAACGAAGAGCTTCACCGGTGGCTGCTCCTGCAAGATCTTCCCCTGTTGACCGCCGACAGCGGAAAAGTTAGAGGGGATGCCACTTCGGGAAAACCTTCGGAGTATCTATCCTTTCGGTTCTGTCTCACCTTGGCCTGGTATCCGAGCAGAAGCGCCGCGATCGTTGCACCCTAAAGAAAAAAACAGTGGGAGTTGACTTAGAACCTACTAAGCCCAGAAAAATCTGCGGCCGGCTTCTTACTTATCACTTGGCCCATTTGATCGACTACTTTAATAATCATAATAAATAAATAAATACGGTGACGTTCGCACAGTTGAAGGCTTTTTCAGCGACCCAAAACGAAAAAAGACCCTAAAAAATAAAAATAAACTACAGTATTGGTTCCAAACGAGAAGGCTCATCGAAATTCATCCAGAATCCGAGGATCATCCGAAAGTCAACAGCGGAATGGAGGACCAGAGGAAGTCAAACTTGGAGAGAGAGAGAGAAAGAGAGAAGTCCGGAGGGGAGGAAGGCCGCTGTTACCTGAGAGAAGCCGAGATAGCCGTCGAAGGGGCCGTTGGTGGCGATGTACTCGCAGAGGAAGGAGATGCATGCGTCCAGGTTCTCGTACTCGGTGAATTCCTGATCGGGAAATTTCGCTCGCTCAGTTCACACACAATTTTGCCGGCTCGTCCGAAGAACCCACCCACCTTGTTGAACTGGAACCACTCGAAGTACGGCGGCGGGAAGATCCTCTCTATATCCGACTTCCCCCCAGCCGGGAATATTCCGTCCGGGAACACCTGCATGCCCCCCAAGACCTCCGTTAGAGAGAGAGAGAGAGAGAGAGAGAGAGAGAGAGAGACAGAGAGAGAGAGATGAGTAGAGAGAGAGACGAGGTCGAAGGAGGAGAAGATTGAGGGGTCCCATCGGGAGATCTGCTTCCTGAGGAAGCTGCCGCTGGTGCGGAAACCGTGGAGGCAGAGGATCTTCATCTTCTTCTTCTTCCTCGGCCCCCCGGCGGCTTTCTGCTCGAGAGCTTCCACCATTCTCGCTTCCTTCTTGGACCTTTTGTTTTTTCCGGCGGCCTGAGTGAGATCGCGACGGCGGGGAAGAAGAGGAGCTTATAAATAGGAGAGGACGGTGGGGATCCTCCGCCCTTACTAGTTGGTGCAACACGCTCCACAGAAACCACCTACCTCTCTCTCTCTCTCTCTCTCTCTATCGACTGTGGAGGCTGCGACACCTACCACCCACCCCTCCTATCGGATGCTGATCCAATAAGAAATACCGATATGGCCGGGATCCGAAGGGTAGAGATAGAGAGAGTGATGGTCTGGTGCATGCCCTCTCAGCGAAGCTTTGAAAGAAGGTTGGAGGGGAGAAAGAGAGAGGAAACTCAGAGTTATGGCCTGGTCCCTGCGATCTTCTGAGACGAGAGAGAGAGAGAGAGAGAGAGAGAGAGAGAGCGAGTTATCCCCTGGTGCATGCTCTCAGAGCGAAGCTTTGAAAGAAGGCAGGAGGAGAGAAAGAGAGAGAGGAAACTCGGAGTTATGGCCTAGTACATGTTATCTGAGGGAAGCTTCGAAAGAAGGGGGAAGGAGAGAGAGAGAGAGAGAGAAACAGTACGAGGAGGGAGAGAGGAAGAGAGCAAGCGGAAGAAAGAGAGGTGGAATTGTAGCCGTGAGACTCGCCGCCAGCCTGCCAGAACGACGGCTACCTCGTAGGCAAACAGCCCACCCGCGCCAACGGTCACAGGAGGCCTGCGTCGGCAACTAACTACGGTTAGATTGACCCAGTGCAGGTGGGCCTGTGGAGAGAGAACACGTAGATGAGATCCAGCCGTTCAAGTATGATCTGACAGTAAAGAATTCGCTCTTCGAGACCAGGCGGCTCTCCGTGAATAGTCGTGATTATGCGAGCACTTGCCCTCCGATCGATCCCTCTACGGGTGGGCTCCCCCCCTCCCTCCCACGCGTCCATCAATCTCACGTTCCTCCCTGGAATTCGGCGACGGGGATAATTTGGCAATCTCCAGTTAGTTGCTGATTCCTCCCATTCTTTTCGTCGTCAAGATCGTCGAATTCCTCGGCGTTCTTCTCCTCCTCTTGCTCGAGGTTCACTCTCCCATTCCCAGGTGTGGGATTAATTTTTCTTTTCTCTGCAATTTTTTGTTCCTCTGATCATGTGGTTGAATTTTCTGAGATTTGTCGTCTTGGACTTGCTTCTACTATTCAATTTTGTGGCTATTTTATTGTATGATGTTGCTTCGCTGTGGAGCCTTCTCGAGAGGGATTCAATCGTAGCGATGTCGATATTTCAGCATGTCGTCGAATCAGAGCCTCTTGTCGCATTATTTATCATTGTGGTCTGAATCTTGACTTGATCGTCTCATCTTTGTCCCCGTGATGTCATATTCGTTGACGAATGAGGTTATTTTATTTTCCCTTGAGCTTCGAGGAACTGCGCTGGATTTCAACTTAGCCTCTTTTTTTTTTCGGCAACATATCTCGGGATGGTAACAATGCGTTATTTTCCTTCTTTACAGGGTTTTCATTCCCTTTCGTTTCCTAATTTATCAATGTTGTAGTTCTTTTGGTTAATATCATGTAAGGAATTATATCCATCGCTCCTTTTTCATCCTTGTGCCTCGATATCCCTTTTTCAACTTATGGGATCGGATGCATTTGATAGTAAACATTTGAGAATATGATAAATTATTTTCCTTGACTGGAGTACCCGGTTTTTCTTTTATATATTTTTTTCTGCGGATAGGAGTAAATATTCGACTAATCTTCGATTTTTTAATTATTTAGTTTCAAGAAAAGAAGGCCTCGTCTTTGATAGAAATAATATTGGTTCCGGTCTCAGGCAATGCTATGGTTCTGTATTATTTTATGTGTGGAGTTTTATTTCATTTTCCTGTTATGTTTTCGTAAAATGTGTTTTTGTGCTTGCGAATAATTCGGTCCTTCCCCTCCACCTCAGATACTGCCCCAACCAACTGTCGTGCCACTTTTGAGATTGCATTTATCTTAGTTTAAATCATGTTCAGGATGTATACTATCTGAGGACCAATGGTGTCATGAGAATTATACATGGTCTTGCCGAAGATATGCTAAATCATGTTTTTATTGTCTCATTATGGCGAAGGATCGCCTTGTTTTTGTTCAGCGAGTTTGAAGTCTCAGCTCTGAAAAGTTTGGTCTCGCATAATCAACAGCATCGTCAAGTTTTGTGCTTCTCTGCGGGGCTTTTATTTTCAGCATTTTCATTATAGTGCTGCTTTAAAAACGACTGCCTTATTAGCTTGTAGTTTTGCATTACATGTCGTGCTACTTCCGAGAAAAGGAAGAATATCTGGGTTCTGCTTTGGTTGGATTGATTGTACTTTCGGATGACACCATGCCATGGCTCTGGTTTTGCAGTTACACGAAAATTCTACATGCTTTACTTGTGAGGTATCTCCCTCTTTGAGGCCTATGCTGGATGGCGAGTGGGTTTCTTGAATGCCTGGTTTTGGATTTGTATCAAAGTGTTGAATGAAATTTTTACTCGACTAGGAATTTTGCATTTTTATTACCTATGTTTATGCTTTGTTTTGGTTCCGTTGCGGGGGCGTCCGGCTCTTTTTCTACCGAGCCTAACAAGGCTATTCAAGAGGGTCAGTTCTCCCTGTATGGTATTTTTGACGGAATACTTTTCTCCTATGCTTTTTTTGTTTTAGGGAGAGAGTGCCAACTTGGATTTATTTGCTTATTTGACCTTATTTTTGAAAGTGCAAAGTCACGGGTGGTAGCTTTGGAGAAATATTTTCTCAATGAACATTTTTTGCTGTGCAGGTCTTCTACTCTCCTCCCCTTCGTGCAAGAGAAAATCCACCTAACCCCCTTTCTCCACTGGCACACACAGATATATTGGTGAGAACATGAGCGGTAAACATACTTAACAGAAGACGCCACTTCTCATCTTGTCAGTATTTCATGCAATTTATGGATAAATTTGTATTTTCTTCTGTACAGGATTTGGATGCAACTTCCATTTCTGAGATTGTGGTAGAACGGCGTTCTTTTGCCAATAGGAAGGAGGATAGGAGTCGTACTTCGGCCTTCCTCTCATGGTTAGCACCCTTGCATTGTTCATAAGATGGCGTCCTGATTCCTGGCTTCATTCGGCGAACGTTTCTTTTCATTTTCTATATGACCGGCTAGTTGCTTGTTGCCGACTTCTCAGGCAACGAACGAAAACCTGCCACCAAATGTCATCAAACAGCTAGTTAAAGAGTTGAGGAACCTGGATGAGTCTCCCCCGGAAGGAATTAAAGTAGTCGTGAATGATGATGATTTTTCAACAATATTTGCTGATATTGAGGGCCCTGGTCTGTGCTCTGCCTTAACTTCATTACCGGTTTTGTTTTCTCCTAGTGGCTCATGTGAATGCCATGAAGCATTGTGCATTTATTCACAAATCTATGCTTTCATGTTTCAGCTGGAACACCATATGAAAATGGTACCTTTCGTATGAAGCTGTTGTTGTCTCATGACTTTCCTCAGTCTCCTCCCAAAGGTAGTACGCCTTTTTGCCGTCTCATTACTTGCCTTAATGTCTCGATCATGCATTGATCTGTTTGCCTGTTCTTCATTTTTTAGGCTTCTTCTTGACCAAAATATTTCATCCCAATATTTCATCGAGTGGTGAAATATGTGTCAACACGTTAAAGAAGGACTGGAGCCCGTGTCTTGGATTGAGGCATATCCTTCTCGTAAGTCTGTACTTACTGGTCCCACTTCCTTTCTTCTTTCAGAAGCCTCTTTTTTATAAGAAAAAGACGTTAAATTATTACGCTGTGGCATATGTATGTTATTCATTTCTCTAACACTTTACAACTCTTATTATTATTATTATTATTATTATTATTATTATTATTATTTCTATGGTCATTCATTCTTTCTTCCTTCTACAGTGATGTCATAATTTGTTGCTTCTTTAGTCCTTCAAGTGATTTTCAAGCAATAAAAAATTATATTTTCCTTATTTAGGATATAATTCTGATTCCTTGAGATGTAAATGCTTACTGCCTAGCTCTCAAAACAAAAAAACAAAAAAAACAAATCCTACGAAGTTGAGGACTAGAAATCAAACATGTAGGACAATGGCAATTAATAATCCCTATTATTGTCTCAGCATCATCCGTCGGCATTTTTCTTTGATCCTACCACCTGAAAATAAGTTATGAGCATCAGACAGCACGAATCAATCGCGGCCATGCTGGTTACAATCATCAGTACCTGCATTATCAGAGAGAACTCCACCAATTCTGGTTCTCTGTGCTCATCTTTTGGCCACGGTGTTCTCTGTATGGATAATCGGATGAACCCAACGTTGCCCGGGCCAGTTCTCATCATAAATGGCCATCTCTTCAGACCCAAGAGCGAGAAACAGAGGGCAGAGTGAGAGGAAGAGGCCGGCGGAAGAACAAAAAGGAGATCAATGGAAATGGCGAGAATGAAATTAGGAAGGTGGAGAGGATAAAGGGGATGAAGGTCGGGCGAAAACTTCTTCTGGTGAGAGAAGGAGAAAGAAACGGACGGGATGGGGCAGAGAGAGGGAAGACCCCTCCCTTTCCTTCACCCCTCCCTCTCTCTCTCTCTCTCTCTCTATTCATGTATAAAATGTTCTGTATTCTCATAGTCGGTCCACTTGGCTACTGATTGCAGGTGATCCGGTGCCTCTTGATCGAGCCCTTCCCAGAGTCCGCGCTCAACGAACAGGCCGGCAAGATGTTGCTCGAAAACTACGAAGAGTACGCCCGCCACGCCAGGTAACCAGCCATTCCTTCCCTCTTCCAGACAGCAGCAGGAGGACAATGCCTCTCTCTCTCTCTCTCTCTCTCTCTCTCTCTCTCTCTCTCTCTCTCTCTCTCTCTCTCTCTCTCTCTCTCTCTCTCGCTCTCTCTCTCTCTCTGTCTCTCTCTCTTCTTGGGGCTTTAAAGAGAAGGTATATGATTGTGAACTTGTTGTAACTGCGACAGTCTTTATACGGGCATACACGCTTCAAAGCCGAAGCCCAAGTTCAAGACGGGGGCGATTTCGGAGTCAACGACGGTGCTGAACGTGGAACAACAGAAGCTGACGGTGGTGGGCAACGCCGGTGCGCCGACAGCGGCGGCGCCGTTGCCGGTCCCGAACGCTCCGGCCGCCGCCTCTCCTTCCAGAGCCCCGGCGGCGGATCACGGCGGCGCCGTCGCCGCCGATTCCGCGGCTGGGTCGTCCGCCGGCGATGTATTGGCCCCGAGGAGAAAGCCAGCGGCGACGGCGGCAAAGGTTCAGGCGCTAGACAAGAAAAAGATGGATGCCCGAAAGAAGAGCCTGAAGAGACTGTAAGGAAGGAGGGCCATGGCTTCATTCATTTGGTTGTGGGCAGAGGAAGGAAGCAGGGTGAAAATAAGATGGAAAATAATTTGCATGTATTCTCTCTCCTCTCTCTCTCCTCTGTTTTTCTTTCTCTCTCATGGGAGTTGTTGAGTAGTAGGGAGGAGCGGGATGGGTAGTCAGAGGATGACGCAGAGCCGCCGGAGGGACTGCCAACTCTTCCTCTTCTTCTTCGCCGGCGACATGCCGCCTTCGTCGTCTTCTTCCCTTCGACGCCGCCTTCTTCTGCATGCCACAAAAACTGCCGACGTCACCATCGCCTCGCCTCGCCACGCCGCTTGGCCCAGCCACCATGGCATACTACGCCCCTTCGACTCTCCCGGCCACCTTAACCCCCGCCCACCTCCTCTTGGAGGCGCCCAATCAAACAAATTCACCGTCCCATGATTATCCCCCACTCCAACTCGCAACTCTATGTCCGGCCATTTAACCCCATCCGAGAGAGAGAAAGAGAGAGAGAATACGGCCTCTCTTAGACCCTAAACCCTGTCGAAGCCAAGATCCAACTCAGACTCTACACCTCAGAGAGAGAGAGAGAGAGAGAGAGAGAGAGAGAGAGAGAGAGAGATCATACGAGGTCAGGTTGAGCAAACGACATGCTATGGCCTCACTTAAAACGCCGAACCCTGATGAAGCCCAGAACCAACTCAGACTCTATAGCTCAGTGAGTGAGAGAGAGAGAGAGAGAGAGAGAGAGAGAGGGGGAGTCATACGGTGGGTGGTCTCTCTCTCTCCTGTCGAACCATTCTAGTGTTTTCATGGGGAAAGGCCTAATGATGGATAAATACGAGTCTTTGAAGTGACATTAGAAACCAGTTCAGATATAGAATCAACAAATAGAGTCCGGAAGATCCTTTAAAAAAAGAAAAACAGTTCAAGGAAGAAAAGAAGCGGAAGCAGCGGAGGGAGCGTCCAAAACGAGAGACGACGAGAGAAGGAACCCCCAAGGAAACGACGACGACGACTGCGGCGGGCTACTTACTTAAGATGAGGATGATAAAAGAGAGGGAGTAGTCAATCAATCAATCCTCACTCACTTGGCCATCATGACTTTGACGAACTCCTCGTAGTTGATCTGGCCGTCCCCGTCGACGTCGGCCTCGCGGATCATCTCGTCGACCTCCTCGTCGGTGAGCTTCTCGCCGAGATTGGTCATCACGTGGCGGAGCTCGGCGGCGGAGATGAAGCCGTTCTGGTCCTTGTCGAACACCCGGAAGGCCTCCTTCAGCTCCTCCTCAGAGTCGGTGTCCTTCATCTTCCTCGCCATCAGATTCAAAAACTCCGGGAAGTCGATCGTCCCGTTCCCGTCCGCGTCCACCTCGTTGATCATGTCTTGGAGCTCCGCCTCGGTGGGGTTCTGCCCAAGGGATCGCATCACCGTCCCCAGCTCCTTGGTTGTGATGCAACCTGCAAGGTTTAAAAGTCAACGGGAATGAGCACACAGAGCCATAGAGAGAGAGAGAGAGAGAGAGAGAGAGAGGACCGGTGGGCCACCACGACCAAAAAAATTAGTAATTATGAAATGTTTATCGGACAACGGAATGAGCACATAGAGCCAGAGAGAGAGAGAGAGGAGACCAGTGGGTCACTACGACCAAACAAATTAGTAACAGGGACAGTGAAATGTCAGAGGATGTCTCAGACCTAATGCACAGGATGGAGAAGAATCTGGTGACGATGGAGGGGGCTTCTGAATGAAAACCCAATGGAGTTGGAAGCAGCGGAGGTGAGATTCTTAAAAGGAATAACCCAAAATATCCACTTTCCCCGAACGGCAGCCAGGTGTGTAAGTTAAGATAGCAAGCAAGCATGCACTCCCCGAGATCTTGCCCAAGAATATGAGGGTTCCAAATTGCCTGATTACTGAGAAAGTGTTGCAACTTTTCAGCCAAAGACCCCCCCTTTCTTCAAGGCTCTTCACACTGGGCACATTCCACTTGAGCATATATCTAGACTGAAGGAAAAGCAACCTATGCCCATATTTCGAGGGCAATGGCACAATGATCAACGTCTCAACTCTCCAGTCTGTCTCCACGCCCAGGGGGGAGCTAAGTTTCCTATATTACCTTGAGAATCGGGGTCTCACACGTCACATACTCACTATTGTAAGACCCGGGGGAGACGTCGGAGTACTTAAGTGGACTGTACTTTCCAGGAAGCTAAATTTTGGTAAGGAGAACACAGGTAAGTCATTGCTTGCATCTAGGCACCAGTCTTAAGTAAGTGTTTCCTGTTGAAGTTTACATCACGTCGTAGAAATATAGAATCCATCTCTTCTGTGATAAGAGGGGAACCTTTTTAAAGTTAGCAGAAACCTTCTATCACAGATACTGGTAGGCAGAAACATCGTACCGTCCATTTTCCTTTTTAAAAGGTAGCCCTGACGCAAAATAGGATCAAAACCTCAGGATTTGTGAACAAAGCTCGAATTCGTATGGATACGCCCAATTCTCAGGTAAAGAAGGAGGTCAAAATACTGGGCAAGCATATAGATTGCAAAAAGTAATTACTAATTGACAAGATTCAAAAGTTAAGTACAGAGAAAAAGGCTACTATTCTCGTAACAAAAAAAAAGAATCTGAGAGAGATAGAGAGAGAAAGATAGAGAGAACATTAGTGTGTGGGGAAGTAAAGATGATCCATAAAACAAGTATGAAACTAGATATTCTTCGCAGTACAGATGATCAAACAATCTCCTGATTTTTAAAAAAAGGTTCGACAGCACAACTAATGATGTTTTCATTTTTTATGAATAAATATATATCCATGAGACAGCTTAATATGTTTCGAACAATTATTACTCCCCACTTTATGCCACTGATCCTTTAAAGTCCTGACGTCCCTCAGTCAATGCAACTTGTTTCTCAGGAATTTGGAACATGCATCCCTAAAGAGGTAAGTACGGTAACATTTTTAGAAGGTGGGAGCATAACAATGTCCCAACTTGCTTCTGTTATATATAACAGTAAAATAATAGAAAAATACTAGCACAAAATAAAATTTTGAGGAAATATATGTACGATGCGAAAATACACTAATTTGACAAGGGAGATGCAACTCTGCACTACAATAATGTGCGGAAAACTATAGGAAATTGTATCGCAGAACATTCATTAGACATCATTTCTTCCCCTGCACATCACTTTAAAAATTATCTTCGGCCCTTGCCAACTTAATTACATGAAATACAGGAAAGTTTGTCACCGCTGTGACTAATGCATCAAATACCGTAAAAATAAACCTGAAACTTTAGGAGGAATGTTGGAGAGAGAATGGCAACGGAGGAATGAAATTTCTTAAAACCATGGGATTCGCGCGATTCCCGATGCTCCACCACCGGCTGCATCAGTCTTATCAGGAGTTAATCAAAAGAAGCATAAATTACTGGCTAATTCGTACCTTCCCCTATGATGAGAGGAAAGACACTGTATTTCGTCGACTATAATCATTCATCAGCTAAAGAGATGAAAAGACGTGTCGAATTCGCAGACAAAAATAACAGCCCCAGACAATGTTATTCTAATTCAATTAGATTTAAGTTTGAAAAAAAAGTGGAAATCAGAAGAAACAAGCAATGACACGTGTTTGCCCATTGACGTATGAATCCAGAACTTCAGAACAAACAGATTGACAAACAAATAATTTGGGATGGTCAGTAGGCAAGCCAAAAGGATGCGTATTACGGTTAGCATTTTCAGAAGGGAAAAATGAATCTGGCTGAGAACGATGAAATCAAAAGTAATAATGAATCTGCTGCTTGCGCCGTCAACAAGGACCGGTCAAAATGGTTGAAGACCGGTGCCATAACACGACGAGGACTCGGTCAAAATAGAAGCCAGCAAACCACCAGATCAAGAAATAAATACCACACCAAAGATAACCACAGACAAGACGTCCAAGAAGCAGCCGATTCAACTCTGAAAACTAATGACAGAGAACGGCACAAAGAGAGTGAATCTGACCGTCTCCATCCTTGTCGAACAAGCTGAATGCCTCCTTGAACTCGGAGATCTGGTCCTCGGTCAGTTGATCCCCCATAGCTTCTCCTGCGGCACGAGAAGTGAGATCTGGAGCAGACAAAAATGGAGAGGGGAGGCCAAGTGGGAACGAGTGTTCTCCTGATCTCATTTCCTCCCCCGAAAAACGGAATTTATACCATCGACAGCGCACCACCGCATCAACAACTTTTCCACAAAAACCCTCAAAACGCCCGATAATTGCATATGGAGATTAGTCCACCCAACCTCACTACCCCTCACTATTGGCCCATTTGGGTCCATTAGTCTGATCAATGCTCCATGGGCCCCACCTTCCGTCGCAAAGCCATCGTCACTCTTTCAGCGATTGCCTGGTCCTCCGATTTTACACGTGTCAGAATCTAAGAGCATATGACCCTTTCCATTTAAATTAGGAAAAGGTCGCGGGAGAAATGAACAGTCATGATCGTTAAGGATAGATTCGGAAATTCCGATCTGACGGCTGGCAATAAATGTGGTTTTTTGCTTTTGCGCTTTAAAGAACCTTGCGTGGCTCTCACGCAAAGTTTTGACTCAAAGGCGTTTTACTGAAAGACCCTTGATGACTCGACAGCTGGCTCGGCCCAATAATTCCTATTTAGCTTTTAAGCCCTTTAATGGGCCCATATGGGCTCACTTTGCATAGGGGCCGCCCTGACGACCACTCTTCCAACAGAAGGTCTGGTGTCAACAATCCCCCTGAGGTAAAGACGCTCTCTCTCTTCTATCTCTGCTCTCCATCGTTCGAGTGGGATCTTGATCTTTGACGAAAGCAAATGGGGGTCTGTCTGTAGTCCTCGATAAGAGAGAAAGAAAAGCCCCCTCCCCCCCTTCGCCACCTGCTCAACGCCATGAGAGGCCTCCAAAAGCCGATCTGAGATCTGCCCCAATGGCTAGAAGAACAGCCTTTTCCTGCACCCGGTGAAGAAGGGCAGGGAGGAGGGCCTGCCGCGGCGGAACCCTAATTCCTTGACGAGCTCCGCCACCAGTTCGCCGACGATGCTCCTTTCCAGCTCCACCCATATCATGTCCAGCTCCCACATCTCCTCCCACAAGCCGCTCTCCGAGACCTCCTCTACGCTCTCCGCCATTGCCTTGCTGCATGGCCGCTGCCGCCGCCACCACCGGCGGCGCGGCCGCGGGAGGTTCGTCGGCCCAATCGGCCTCTGGTCCTCCGGAGGGAGAGAAGGCGGTCCTTTCTTGCAGGCGAACGCCGGCAGGACGAGGTGGTGGCCGTCGAGGAGGAGGTGGTCGCCGGCGTCTTCCGCATCGCCACCTGCACCATGAACGCCGCCTTTAGCGCGATGAACCGGTTCTTGCTTGTTCCAAAATAAAAGGACATAAGATCGATCGAACACGAAAGTCAACGCAGATGACGGCGTCATATTCTCAGTCGTTTGGTTGGAGCTTAAAAACAGTGGTGACGCGTGTTTTTATTCTGAATTAACCAATATTAAATGTATTATCTTGTCATAACATGACTATGAAAGTCAAATCACTTAAAATGGATTTGATATTTAATTCGGCGAAAACAATAACCAGTAATTGAAGTATGCTCCGTCATTATTCGCTGCGACGGGGAGATGCAGTCTAACGACGATGGAGATGAGGTTGAGGTGCACCTGGCGGCAGCTGCTGCTGCCTCCAGCGGACGCCCGGCGCTGGAGAAGACAGCGGCGCGTCGAGCACCGAGACGGGACTCGGCTTGCCATCTTCCTCCTCGAGACACCGCTTCTCCTCCACCCCTGCGCCGCCGCCGGAGTCCCGATGAGTCTCCGCCGCGCGCAGGGCATCGATGATCCTCTTCAGAGTCATGAGGTCCTCATCGCACCTTTCCAGCGCCCCCAGGAGCTTCCGCCGCTTCTCCGCCGCCGACTGGGGTGAGTCGTGCGGCGGCGGCGAGTCGTCCAACCCCATCAGCCGCGCCACCAGCGCCGGCGGCTTGCGTGGGGAGCAAACCGGGGAGTCTAACCGTCGTATCTCCGAGGGAAGCGTGGGGCTACGTGGGATCTCGCAGGAGAGCCGCCTCACGGACTTCTCGCCGGAGGACACGGCGGCGGGCGGCGCCGCCGCGGCAGGCCGAGTGGGGTTCGCCGGAGAGCTCTCGGGGGTCTTGCTGCTGCTGCTGTTGCTGCTGCTACTTCGGTTCTTCCCTGAGAGGAGGCGCTTGCGGGAGTTGTGGCGGTTCATGTTGAGGAAGAAGAAGATGCCGGACATGCAGCCCACCTTCTTCGTCTGCGGGTTCTCCACCACCATCCTGCTTTCCCGGCGGGACGACGACGAGAGCATTTCGCCGCTCTACTACCACCCAATACCCACAGAAGTGAGAGAGAAAGAGAGAGAGCTGGGCTACCTTTAAACAGTCAATATTTTATTTTTTGTCTATATAAGTGGATGATTTATTAATATAAAAATGGATCGTTTTGATGGAAGGACGGAGGTGGCCTGGGCAACGGTAATTGGAGGTCACATGGGCCCACCACGCAACAAGCAAGGGCCCACTACAGGGCGTATGACAGACCGCGTGGGGACAAAAGTAGCCTGTCCCCCCCTCATCCTACTTTCTCTGCTTGCGCGTGGCGCTGTGCAGGAACAGACGCACGTGCGAAATCGCTACCAGCGTCCGTAATGCACGTGCAACAGCTGCGACGCCTTGGGCCGGGATTGGCAGGCCCGGCCCATTTAGTATGCAATGGCCCCACTAAATAAGGGATCACCGGGTCTTCGCCAAGGTGGGGCCGCTTCATCATCGTGGAAATGGCTCATCTTGGCCGTTGGATTTGCACACAGCAAAATGGAAAAAATGTATAGGTCGAAGTATACAACTACCGTGCACAACGTATATCGAATACACACCTTCCTGTAGGGGAGATCCATCGGAACCCACCTCAGTGTGTCGAGGATTTCTATGAGAGACTCGACGACCAGCCACAGTGAGCCCTTCCATGGAGAGAGCCCTACGGCTGGAAGGAAGAGAGACCTTCAGCGCCATGGGCACCACGGAAGGAGAGGCCTTCCCCCTCCTGATCTTCTGGGCTTACCATACGCAGAAAAGTTATCGATGAGAGACAGAACATGATATAGCCGCCTGGGATGGGGAAGAACACCGCCTTATGGGAGCCTTTCTCTGCGTTTGACTCAGGAGAGGAGTGGGAGAGGACGGAGTTCCTCTTCCTTCTGGTCAAGCCCGTTCTTCACGAAGAGGGTTTCTCTGATTATCCATCCACAAGAGCCTTCAGTGCGTGGGTTCTACTGATTTCAATGGTATTCTCAGGATGACGGACGGACTGCATAGCTTTGGGAGACTCTGACCACTAGAGAGTGTGCTACAGCGCAGACAAGAGCACTTCTATGATGACCACAAATATCCCGAAGAACCCGGGATTTTCATGCGACCCAGGTGGAGTGAGAGATCCAATTAAAGGAAACAAAAAGGATAAATTTGTGAATAATCAACGAATATTGCTACACATATGTGCTTTTCTTCTACAGCGAGTGAGGCCGGCCAAACCTTTTCATTCAGATATATGGACTTACTCCGCTCAATGGGAATTCATCTAGAGTTGGATGACTCGATTCCATGGCATGCAAGAAGAACCTATGATCGCCAACAGCATGATAGAACAGTGTGAATTTCATTAGAATATGGAGTCATGCTCCACTATTGGCTATTTCCGTGAATAATATGACCTTATTGTATCATCTGAAGATCATGCTAGCATAATGTGACCGATTTTATGAGCCAAATTATATCATGTGATTGAAGCATGGAGGAATACCTTCATTCTCACGTGGGTCGGGCTATGACCATCTCATCATATGATATGAACAGCCCCAATTTGGCCACTTCCTCAGGTATTGAACTAACCTGCAGTTGTTGATCTACTGAAGTGGCCAAAAGTTCCCGCTTTTGATGGGCTCGGAGAGATGGGGACTGGACGAAAGGACGAGGGATTGATGGAACAAAGTGATCCTTTTGGGGGTCGTAGGATCGGAGTGTGAAGTGTTCCTCGAATTGGTTGGATGAGAGGGAGGACCAAGATCAGATTTTCCCAAGAACAAGACGCAACGATGGGAGAGCAAGGAACTTGTGCGTCACTGCTTTCCAAAGTTCTCCTTTTACGGCAACAAAAGTACGACATAAGCAGTAAGAGCCATGAAACGTGAAATGGGGCTGATGGGTAGGTATCTAGAGAAGGCGATCCAGAGGTCGTCTACAGACTGTGAAGTACCCAGGAGGGTTTCCTCCTGCCCCCCCCCCCTCAACCCTAGGGCGGCTACCCATCCACGGGTGCCCTAGAGCTCCTATTCCATCATCCTCGACCCTCGACGATGCCTATCACTAAGGAAGAATCAGGAGGAGCATTCCTGAATCGAGCCCACTCTCATCTGAGGAAGAACACGAGATGGGAGAGGGTTTGGTGGTCGTCTGAAAGAGAACAAATTTCTACATACAGGAGTCTTCCACATCAAATCTAGGCTCTCCCTCAACTTCTCCACTGTCAAGAAATCCCTCGGTGCTGAGTAGATCGACTATAGATCTCGTATGAAGGCGGGTCAACGAATAGCGTGAGGAGACAGCCAATGGATGGGGAAGGAAGGAAGGGGGAGGCGATCTGAGGAGAGCTTACAAGCGTTCACTCGCCGTCCCTCTTCCTCCTGGTGCCCTCAAGGTGGGGAGAAAGGGGCTCGTAGAACGGCCCCGGGGGCATGATCCCTGCGAGGTCCTCCAGCACCTGCGGGGTGAAGATCTCGTCGAACATGTCGCCGGTGTCCTGCCGCTGCTGCTGCAGTTGGAGCTCTGCGGCGGCAGCGGGGGGATCCTTCGGCGGCGCCCTCTCCGTCTCCGGCCGGCCGTCACCAAATTTGGAAAGGTCTGAGATGTCGGAGTCTTGACCAGTGAGCTCCTGTACGACGCCCTTGAACTCAGAGGCCGAAGCCTCCACCCTCATGGGGTTGGAGATGTACACCACCTTTACCGGCTTCTTCTTCGCCTTCGCCGCCTTGGGGCTCTTCTGCTTGCTCCCGCTCAGCTTCTCCATGGCCGTAGCTTTGACACCTTGATTCTGCTTGATCATTACCATATCAAGGGCTGGTTTCTATATAAGGCATCCCCCGAGAGAGGAGAGAGAGGGACAGGGAGGGGGGAGGGAGATCTGGTGCATCTGCAACCCAGAGGAAATGAGATCTATCCCTCGCTCTCCGTGGGCCTTCGGAGTTTATCACCGCCATTGGTCAACCTACGTCGAGTCGCCGTCACTGATTATCCATCATTAATCTGGATTAGTTAGAAAGTCGCCTTGACACTTAAACTAGCTAACCCTGTTCTATTAGCGCCCATCATACGCATAAATATATATAAACAATGGGTCTAGGGTCCAATAAAATATAATTTATGATTACATTTCTTCACATGTGAAGGGCCTTGGTTGCCGAACCTCCCCCGCGGCGAATCCAGTAGTGATGACGTAATCTACGTGACGCCAGCTTCCCAGCAGAGAGCAACTCCGTTAAGTGTCCAACACGCCGCCGTCAGCCTCTCTCTCTTTCTTTCTCTCTCCCTCTCTCTCTCTCTCGCGCAGCGCCACCGTACATGGCACCGGGCAAGGGCTGGAAGCTATCGAACGTCCACGGCTAAGGATAACAGCTTCCGAGAGGTGGAGGTTTGGAGGGAGTAGGTGGGGACGGGCGCGGTGGGCGTGGTCCGTCCCGATTCTCTTCCCCCTTGGGTTGAAGGGGATCAGACAGATACATAAGATAAGACACGTCAGATAAGAGGGAGCGAGAGACAGATAAAGATAGAAAGAGAAAGGAGAGAGAGAGAGAGAAAGAGAGAATTTTACTGTACTTACGACAGACATCTCGGGGCTCTCGCTCTCATCCATTTCTCGAGTGCTGGAATCCCCTCTTTGGTGCACATCTTGCCTTAGATGGGTCTACAGTGAGTCGCCATCTCATGGTAGAAAGAGTAGGTTTTGGCAACTATCATCTCCTCTGCGCCTCCGCTGACGGGACGGCGGCGATCTGCTCTGCGGCGGCCGACGAGATGACGCATTTTTCGTGACGTCTTCATCTCCGGATAATCAGGGTTTTTCCTTGATCTCCTCTCCGGAAATGTGTCGGGCAAAGGTCAATGCCCGCCGTCCGCGAGGGCTGCAGAGTTCTTCCAGAAGTCGCCGGGTCAGATCCGCCGGCGCCGGTCAGGAGGTTCTTAATTGAGGTGGACGGCAGATTCGCCGGCGCCGGTCCACCCCGTTTCAACTCCATTAAAAGACCGTCTGAAGCAGACCCATCTCTAGAGCCCACAATGAGAAATCTTCCAATTCCCCCCTTTCGTCCTTCGATTCACCGAGAGAGAGAGAGAGAGAGAGGTTGTCATTGGGCTCTTCTTCCTTTTGATTTAAATGGCATGTAGGAAGAGGGAATGGTGGATTGGGCGGGGAGGGTGCACGGCCAATGAGCGCTGAGAAGCCACAAATATCTGCATCTTGAAGTAGTGGTCTGGATTCATTGCTCGGGGTCTCCCAGTAGTCATGGACAGCCAACCCCAGCCACCCTCTCTCTCTTCTTCTTCTGGTCAGAGCTCCCGTTGACCGGAAGAAGAAGTGAGAGAGAATGAACCTCAGCTTCCCCCCTGATACCCCGTAGAGAGGGACAGGCCGAGAAGCGAGAGAGAGATGACCAGTCGGCGCCAACTCGACTCTTCTCTCGGAAACGGTAAGACCGAACTGTTCCCAGCACTGACAACATCACTCAATGTCGAGAAGGATTAGAACCAGGCCTCCCGACCGCTATCGTTGAATGGTCAATGCCATTGACCGTACTGAGAGACGTCAGCGGTCATTAAATCCTCCCACGCTTAGCACGTGCGTTCGCCCACCAAACACGGCTCTGAACATCCCCCCCCCCCCCACCCCGGGAAGATTGGAATGACCTTTGGACTTCCATAAAATCTTGGAGAGCCAACACCTCCCACTCCGAATCATCCATTTATCCTCGCCACGCCACGTAAGGCCAAGTGGACCGATAATATAATACCTTTAAATAATAGTAGGTAATTAAAATCCCCAAATAATACGCGTTATTATCCAGCGAAATAACGTGTGTGAGCTTTAACATCCACTCATAAAATTAATGAATGAGTAAATAATATAGCATTTTTTATTTGGTTGCTTAAATATTTAAATATGTGCTGCCAGGTTCGGGCGGTGGACCCGCCCGCCGCCCTAAAACGGCCCACTTGTGCATATAGTTAAAAATTCGAAGTGACCGTACCACGTCGTACGACATGCTATGTATGGCTTCCACGTGGTGGCTATAGGGCCAATGACGATTTTACGATTGGGCCAGACAGAATATGTGGGCTACCACTGTCTTGGGCTGTGGAAAGACTTTACTATCGGCCTGGCCCAAAGAGTATTCAGGCTGCAGCTCTGTCGGGCCCAGACTATGAAGTTTGTGGGCTGGTCATTGGCCCATTCTTCCTCCAACAGTTAGCAACCGGGCCCCCAATCCTCTGTTGAACTCGCGGGCTTCCAGAGAATCTAGGGTTTAATTCCTTCCTCCCGCCGGAGGACGCTTCTCTCGTTCTCTCAGATTCTTGCTCACGGCTGTATCTCGGCACGGGACCCTCGCCATTGGAACGGTTCCGTTCGCCGCTGCCGCAGATAAAGAAAGAGGAGTCTAGAAGAGGGGATTGGTTTGGCTCTTGGCCGACGAAGACGATGATCTTCATGTTTCGGCGGAACATTACAGAAGGTTAGTTCTGTGCTGATGATTGTTTTGGTTTGATATCTTCATTTTTTTTTCCGACTTTGGGGCGGGAAAATGCAGCGATGCTGCCGATTTGCTATAAAGTCTTATTTGCTATTTTCCAATCTCCCTGTGGAGGGGAGAGAGGGTGGTCCTTGTCGAAATTTCTGAGAGCCCGATCTCGGAGGACGACTCCCCGTTTTTTCGAATCACTGGAATTTTTATTGAATGAAGCACAATTAATGAAGTTCGTACGCCAATGGAAGATATTCGTTACGATTTGAAATGCGCTAGTGACGCGAATGATCGCGTACATTCTGCTATTTGTATTGGATAATAAAGGGCATTAACCACCAAATTTTAGTTCATTTAACGGCACTGTACGCGTTAAACTAATTAATTTGGCAAACTTTTAGCATCTTCTCATCTCACGATAATGTTCTGAATGGGATGATATTTTGACATAAATAATGATTAATTATTTACGTAGTTCTCAAGAAATCCCAAAATTACTAAACATACTAGTGTTGTGTTATCATCTTCATTCAAGTGATGAGTATACCCGCGTGTATTTGCTTATGCTTGATGACTATGACATGCCTTTATATATCTTGGTGCACCGTGATCTTTCAGCAAATTAGTGATTCTCTTCTACGTCATTTTTTTTTGAAAAAAGGCAAATTATCCACTTTCATGTATGATCATGATGTATGGAAGAGCTAACGTGATTAAGTTACTCTAATCTGATATTCATCACTAAGGCTCGATTGGAAATTAGTAAAAAGGAGGAAATCGGGCAAGGAAATCAATGGAATTAAGTTATTTTAGTAAAATAATATTAGTTGACTGTAGATCTCATTTAGAGTAAACCTCCCACCTACACATGTTGAACAATACATGTTTCATCATTTATTGACGAACTTACTGGACAATCATAGACCCCAACATCAATGTAACTTTCACTAGCTGTAAGTGCTGACTTATTTGGCCAAGTGGAATTGGGACACATGGCACCATCTTCACCATCCATGTGAATGACATCATGTTATCTTTAACTGATGTTTATGGAAAAGTTTACTTATTTATATTTATTTGACCCACATTACAATGCACACGCCCATGACACACGATGAACTGGCAAGATTTGCTTTTTTTAGAAAATCTGAAGACATTTTTTTTCTGTAGAACATGACCTCACTTATTCATAATTTACTTTCATACCCTGATTCTAAAAATTATCAAATCGAGGGTGAGTATCAGTGGTCATGGATTTATAAAAAGTACGTATTTTGTGCTGGGAGATTTAAATTTTTAAAAAAATCTAAAACTATGAGAAATGCTTCACAGCTCCACAACTTTACATGCACTAAAATGTAAAGGTAGCTTCACATATATCCTGGCACCTACACCACATGTCAACGAGGCTCCACCTTAAAATGGATCATATATAGGGCCGGACTATGTCAGATCTTCTAAATGGGCCTGTACGTGACAATTAGTAAATGGGTATTGCTAGCCCGATAATTAGTGGGCCCAGCCCTTTTTCCCACTACTGGTCAATCAGAGCTGGACTATAGTGGAGTGATACTATTGTAAATATCTTCAAAAAGCACTTCAACTAATTTTGACAGCAACTCATCACCCCTTGATTAAATAAATAAATTCTCATAGTTGGAGCCTTGGCGTAAGGAGGAGCAAAAGATGATAAAGGAGAGGGCTTATAAGTGATCAACAAACTATATATTTTTGGAGAAACGGTGAGTCACTAGTTAGATAGAGGAGAGAGAGAGAGAGAGAGAGAGAGAGAGAGAGAGAGGAATGTTAGGATATGGTTTAGTATCTTAGTAATGCTGGGCTTAAAAATAAGGCCAATAGTAAAGTGGTGTGACCTCTTATGTTGGGACAAACTTTTGGCTCATATAAAGGTGTATATGTGCAACTCTCTCTTGTGAGTAGAGAGAGGGCTAAAAACTTATTACCAAATTTTTAGAGAACAATATATTATATCCATATTGTAACCTTTTTTATTTGTATACTTGCCTAATTCATTCTCGTGTTTGTATCCTTTGTGTTCATGAGTGTGTCATATTTGGTTTTGGCATAAATGAAACTTGGTTAATCAAATCTGACACATTAGGATCGATCTAGTATAAATATTTTTATTTGTTTCCTCATTTAATATATCACAAATTTCTATCTTTACCCTCCTTTCTTCTCTCACACTCCAACAACTCTCTCATCTACTTTAGCACTTGCAGCCACTGCAACATCATAATAGCAAAGTAATCTA